GCATATGCCTTTCTTTAATCTCTACTATAACCAAAGTATACAAAATGCCAATGTAAATGTTAATCTTAATGTTAAACATATTGATGAGCATTTGGATTACCAGATCCTTTCATATTTGCATATGAATATGTTGAAAAATGAATTTAACCTCCTTTTGGTTTACCTAACCAAGCAGCTAATACTCTTTCTCCTAATAAAATTTATTATTTTCTTAAAGGTGTATTTGATAATCTAAACATTGTATGCCAATTCTCTTACAAATCTGTCTCTTCCCATTTAAACCAACCTTAAACTGCATATTCATCTGGTAATAATAAATCAATAAATTCTTATGTTGGTGGTGCTGTGTTATCTTCAATGTCTACATATTTTGATTCTCTAACGAATTAATATGGAACTAATTTTTAGGGAGCAACATATGGTTAAGGATTACATGAAATAGCAAATTATAAGAATTCTTATTCATTGATCAAATATGTTCCTAAGCCAATTGCTAATACTGGTCTACTAATTTATCCATTGAATCCTGGGAAATCAAAATATTATCCTCCCAAAACAAATCTTAAATATTAAGGAGTTCCTTAAGATGCTGGTAATGTAACTTATTTAACTAATTAACTATTTGATTGTTTATAGAAACCAATAGCTTATTATTAATATGCTGAGTAACTGTAATAAACATATGTCCAAACAGCTTCAATATCTCCAAATACTATTGCAGCTGTTGCCTCCTTTCTTTCAGGTTTATCGTGTTAAGCACTGAAAATATATTATTCTTAAGTTTAGAATATAGTTAATAATCTATCTCCAATCTAATCATCTCCATCTTATTAATTCTTTGTTAATTTAGCTACAAAGTAAGATTAATCGCTCAAACCAGTTTATAATTATTCTGGATATAAAGTTAAAAATCTCATCCAAAAACCAAAACCATATTCATTAACATCTTTCAATTTCTTTACTTCTGTTGAAACAGTGGGTTAATCAGCAGTTATTGAACTTGTTAATACTATATCTGATCCAACTACACATTTTGGTTATCTTTATTATGGGAAAGGAATGTCACAACCAACCTCTTCTGGTACTGGATGATCATTTTATCTATAATTTCCTGGTACAACTCTTTATTTTGAAACTTTTCTCTATTAATATCTATCACCACATTTATCTTTCATAGCAATAACTCTCTCTCTTTATTCTTTTATTCTTTATTATGGTTATGGTTAAGGTTATTATTATCTTTGTTATGGTTATACTTATGGTTAAGGTTATTATTATCTTTGTTATGGTTATGGTTATGTTGTTTATTAATATTGATTTTAGACTCTAGAAATTTATTTCAATAAATATTCAATCAATCCATATAACATTGCCAATTATGATCTCTTTTATTCAAATGATCCTATAATGAGATTAAAACATTATCATACTTGATTCAATTACTCTTCTAATTTAATCTGAAATTTATCTACTTTATTCGAATAAAAATTTTCTTTATGGTCCATTATATTAGTTCTGAATTGTTTATAATTGTTCATCCAAAGACTCTAATTATTCATCATAAGAGGAATCTTCCATCAAATCATTTGGGTTAGCTAAAAGATTATTAAATTTAATTACCTGAAATCATTTCATTTGTAAATTATGAAAGTTCTTCAAGTTGCTTCATTTCTTAATCTAATTATCCATCTTACAACAATTCAATAATCTCTCCCCATGATTCAAAATCTTATAACATTTGTACAAAATCTGTATTTTCACAATCTAATTCATTTTGCTAATCCAAAAGTGTAGTTAGGTCATAATGCAATGCCTACACAAAACAAACTAAATAGTTTTCAAAGAAATCTTACCTTGCATTAGAATAACACCTAACAAAACTAGATGTTTCGTTCTCATTCTATCCGTTTTGAAAAAAATTAATAAATAATTATATAAAGCACATTCATTATTTCATTATAAAGTTGGTTAATCAATTCTCATTTGATTCATACAATAAATTACAAGAATTTCTTGTTTTTATAATTTTTAACATATTATACCTCCAAATATACTCATTTAACCATCTTTTCAATTTATCTAAAGAGTTATTGTGTCTGAAAATGCATAAAATATAACATTTAACAATTATTTGAAGTATTTGACAAGTTCAATAACATAAATTATTGATTATTTATCCTTTCATCAAATAATAATCTATCTCAAAGCAGTAAACTTTTCAAAATAGAAATAAGCTCCTCAATATTTTTGATTTTTGAATAGAAAAATTTATTTCCAAAATATTTAATGAAAATTAAAGCTAAACTAAAAATAATTTATTGAATAATTTAATAATTTCTACTTATGTTTTAAGGATTCATAATTACAAAACAAAAGAATATAAATTGGATGAAAATGTAAACTTAATTAGATATATAAATTTGTAAATATTTAATATACTTTGTATCAATCAATACTTATTTTATTTATTTACCATCCTAGTTTTACTAATTCTTAGATATCTTAATGTTCTTCTGATAGCATACTCCCTTGGCTATAAGGCTAACATTTCAGATATTTTTCAAAAGCATTTCTGACTTATGAAATTGATACAGAAATTACTTTTTCTCTCATTTCATCAACTTATTCATAATTTAATCCTGTAATAATATAATCTAAACCCTTATTTTATGGTTCTATTGGCTAATCTAATCTTTAGAATACAGTTAATTTAGCTTCATTTAATTTTTATTCATCAAGTTCCAATTATAAATTATCAAAGATCTTAAAAGTATTTATTAAATTTGGATCTCTATAACTCCAAAGACAAAATGTTCCCATAATAGATCTAACACTACAACCTGCTCCATATGCTCCTCCTTTCTCTCTAATTTCTCTATGTAAATAGTTATTAGAAATACAATCTCCTAATACTTATATTGCTGGAGTATCTTCATGAGTGAAGTATGGTATTTTGAATGCTCTAGATGAACAATTCACTTAAGATGGGATAAGTGAAGCCACACTATTGAATTTCTCAATGAATTATTCTATATATTAAGGTTGAGGATCCATGTCAAATCCTGGATATTTATGTCTTAAAGAGTTGATAAATTATTCAAGACTTTAAATGTAATTTGCTGATCCATCTTAATGAATAATCACTTCCAATTTATGTTTATTCATTATTGTATATAAAATATCTGTCATTTAAAACTCAAAATCATCTACATACATAGATTTCCTTTGATTATCAGCTTTTAAATAATGATGAGTATATTAAAGTTAAAATTTTGTGTTAAAATTTGTATCAGTTAAATAATACTATTCTGATATTTAAGATGTTGCTAATTAAGCTGCATATTGTAACTATTCATCAAATATTTGATTTTATAACATAACTTTATGATTTCTTAATAATGTCGCCAAATGAGATCTATCTTTGAATATTATATTGCAACATAATTCTGATAATAATTCTAGTGTTTTAGAAACATTTTAATTTAAGCATGCTATACTAAACATCAAATAAGTTCCTTTTTTTTAGACTGAATCATATGAAACTTCTAACCCTAAAGTAAATTCACTAAACATTTAACTAATCTATGAATGAGAGAAATTTGTTGTTCCAAACTTACCAAATAATTAAACGAAAAAATCTATATATTATCTTGTGCCTTCAGAAATATCTCCTAAATTAAACTTGAATTTAAAAAAAGTTAATCCATTTGTTTTTTGAATAGTTTCAAAAACTTTAACTCCTCTAATAGTATCCTCATTAAATTTAACCCTTTCAATTCTAGCTTATAAATCTTATATTTCAATAGTAGGGAGTATTGAAAAATCTGATTCTTCTCTATTATCCAAATCCTTATTCAATTTTATTATTTTATCTATTTCTTCTTAATTTAATGATTTTTAAATCTCTTCCAATTATTTATTTTCGTTTTATATAAGATTCTATATATATTTTTTATCAGGTTGTCCAAATAGTGTATAAGGATTTTAAAAATGATCTTTTATTAATTATTACAAATAGCCTGATTAAATTTTTTATTTCAAGATTGCCATATTTTTATTGATTTCTAAATATTCAATGCAATTTTTTTAATTAATTATTGGGTTAATTAAAAATTTTAATAATTTTAACCCCATTTCTGAAGTTGGCATTTTAAATTAAACTTCTATTTAATGTAAAGCAGCATCAACTTTATCCTGAGGAAATTCTTTTGTTAATTAATCTAATATTTATTTTATTTTTTCTTATATGATATTTAAACTTTTTCGATCTTCCTCAACACCTTAAAATGAAATACTAAAAACCAAATTATCACCATAAGTCTCGATTCCTACATTTCTACTAAAAGATTCTGCAAGTCCCTCCTCAATTAATGAATATAATAATCCATTTTAATTATCAAAAAGTACATGAGAGATAATACTTAAAGCTAACTGTTATACATAATCAACTTCTTTAATAATAGTCTAAAAAGCAAGGAAACATTATTTATCTCCATCTTAATAAGGCAATGATATTATATCTGGAGGTGTCAATGTTTTAATTAATTAAGGTGTATGTTATAAATTTTGTCTTTATACATTCACATATTGATCTAATAAATCAAAATTAGGTTAATCACTTCCATAAGAATAAAAGATTGCTTTACTTGGATAAAATGTTTATTTGTAATAATCTAAAAGACCTTAATGAGTAAGAGATGGTATAACTTTAGGATCTCCACCAAAATTATGTTGATAAATAGTATTGTTTAATAGATAGGTCTACATTTCTTACCAAAATACACTTTCTGGATTTTACATAGCCCCTTTCATTTCATTATAAACAATTCCTTTATAAAGTAATTTGCCTTTATCAAAATCAAGTCTTGATCCTTCCTATCTAAAATCTAATTCATTTAATGTAGGCTTAAAAACCAAATCCATTATAACTTTCTGTAAATTGTGAAAATCCTTTTAATTTAATGAAGCAAACGGAAAACAAATATAATCAGGTCCTGTCCATGCATTCAAATATGTATTTATACTACGTTTTATCATTGCCATAAATGGATCTCTAACTGGATACTTTTCACTTCCACAACAAATTAAATGTTCTAGAATATGTGGAGTTCCTTAACTATTTGTAGGTTCTGATCTAAAAATTGTTGCGAATGTCTAATTTTTATCTTAAGCATCAAAATGTAGCAATTATGCTGCTGATTAATGTTCATAAAATTTGGCTGTTATCTAAAATTCTGGTATTTCATGCTAAGACTTTAACTTAAATGACTATTGGTATAACCTTCGATATTTATATAATTGATTGCTAAACATAATTAAAATTATTAAAAATTAAATAAAAATGTAAAAGCATTAATCAGATCCATATAAATTACCTTTATTGATGGATGTTAACAATATTCCTGAACTTGTAGCATATATATGTTTTTTAGTTATTTCTATTTTACTAATGATAAAAGTTTATTTAAATTATGTAAATGCCAAAAACTTATCACTAACAAGAACAGAAGAATAAAAGGACATGCTCTTAATTTAAAGATTATTACTTATTAATTTAACTTTAGAAATCCTCTCTTATTTAGTAGAAATTATAGGATTCTTTTTTTTGAAATCAGATGTATTTCCAATTTCATACTTCTTTTTCTCTTATTCACATATTGTTATTCTTTATATAGCTTATTGGAGATCATCCCTAATCTGGTATAAAAAGAATATAATTTTAAGGATTTAACTATTAAGCATGAAAAAAACAGATGATACAGTTTTAAGAAACATATATATTTGCTTAAAAAGATTTCCTATTATAGAAGTGTTTATAATTATATTAGCAATATTGATGTTTGTGTTTTATTTACTTCAAGATTAAACGTATATTTATTAAAACTAAATTAGAATTGCCGGGTTGCTATTCGTATCCATAACATGCTTTATATTAATAGTTTTTATTATTGTAGGGCTTTTATTTAGAATTTATGTTTTAACTTAAAAAGATATACCTAAAGATTCTAGACTAAGGGTATTAAAATATATTCAATCTATTAGGTTTCAATATACATTTTGATCTTAATTGTTGTAACATTGCTTAGATTAATTTGGAATCTTCTAAATTCATTATCAAGCTTTTAAGATTTTCTAGAAAAGTTCAAATATGAAGAAGATGATGGAGGTGATTTAGTCGAAAAACCCTTTAATTGGTTCTTTTATATTATTATTTACATACCTTTGGCGAATTTTGTTCCTATTTTCCTTTTAACTAATATATACTAACCTAAAATATTAAATATACAAAAAAGAAAAACTTTGATTGATATTTCATTTTGAAAAATATATTGAAATTTTAGTAATCATATATTCTGTTATGTTTACATGTTAATTATCTAATTATAAATAATAAATAAGAGTTTTTAATTTTTCTTAAAATTGAGTTTAAAATGTTAATTTATTCATCAACTTAACCATTAATTATTTGATTAAATAAAATTAATGCTCTCGATAAAAAAAATAAAAAGCTTAATACGATCGTATGATAATTTTGGAGTTTCCTTAAATTTCAATATCAGAAATAATAAACAATATTAGAGTTTATTTGGTGGTCTGATATCTCTTTTAATGACTGCTTTGTTATTATATATTTTTATTACTGGATTAATAAGCCTAATATTAAGGGATAAATTCTAAGTAATGCTTTTTCAAAATTTAGATTGATGTTTAGTAATTATAAAGTATGAATCCTGATTATTAAGAGATGAATATTACAAATTTTATGTTTGCCATAAAATTGGATAATCCATTTTCTCTTTATTTTCCTAACGAAAACAAAACAGCTTTTAAAATTGTGATGAATTAAATGTAATTATCTGCATAAGCTAATGGATCACGAACAAGAATTATTTTGAATCAAACTAACTTCGAATAATGCACAGTTGATCATTTTAAACAAGTTAATTATGAAGGTTTTTAAGAAATTAAAGCTGATATAAAGTCATATTTATGTCTTCCTTAAAATTTTAGTTTTAAATTACAAGGAACATTTAATTCTGAGTATTTTTTGTATCCAGCTTTAAAAGTCTCAATCTGTTATACTGAGGATTGTTATACAAAAGAATAAATTGAATATCTTGCTTAAAATAAATCTATTATGGTATCATTATCAACATTAATTTAATCTTCTATTTACATGAGAAATAGTCAAGATAACTAATTACTTCGATATCTTAATTCAGATTTTTATTTATAAACAACACTAAAGGAAGAAAGTAAAGCTGATATATTTTTTAAAAATAACAAAATTATTGCTGATAACAGTATTTTAAGTTTTTATTAAGAATATGAAAGGAAAGATTTTTGGTCTTTCTCTTTATATAATTATAGGGAATTTAGAGTATAAAATTAATATAAATTAGGGATATCATGATTCTCCAGGTGTAATTTTTTCGGTGAATTTCAGAATAAGTTAGGATTACGAAATAACTTAAAAAAATGTAGATACACTTAATTCTTTTTTGTCATATTTTGGAGGGATGTTAAAAATAATATCTACATTCTTTGGCCTTTTAGCACTGTAATATAATGAAATTGGATTAAAATTATCATTAGCAAATTATTTATATTAATTTAATATTCCAAAGAAAAAAAATGGAAAATATGAATTTTCATATGATAAATTATTAGGTATTATTTAAGCATAAATAAACAGAGTGACTGATTTATAATAGAAATTAAAAAATAATACTAAAACCATAGTAAGAACAAGTATGGTAATGAGGATATGGAATAGCTAAAAATTCTCAAATTAGACACCAACAAATTTATAAATGTAGTAAAAAGAATAAACAGATACTTAAATTGATCCATTATAGTTTAAAAATTATGTGGAATAATTGTATGATTATAAAGGAAATTTTCTTTAAAGATTAGTAACAACTTTAAATTCTACAAGACATGATCTAAGATTAGGAATGAATTTTTTAATATATGAAATTTTGTGGTGTACTTGTTGTGAAAAAGTGGAGATTACTAAAAAGATGTTGGAATAAAGTAAAATGGTTATTGATAGAGATCTTGATATTATACATTTATTGTAAAAAATATAAGAAATAGATAAATTAAAATCAATAATTTTAGAAAAAGATTAGATAAAGGTTTTTAATTACACACCAAAACCTATTATTAATATTAATCCTACCTATTAATATCAAGCTGAAGAAAATGGGAAATGTATTGATTTATTTTAATAAATTAATTCTTAGAAAAAAAAATGCAAAATAAGAAGAAAAACAAATTCGATTAATAAACCTAAAAAACTAATAAAAATTTATGAATCATATAGTAAATTAAAATAACATCATAAAGATAAAAAAAATGAAAGAATAATATAACTTTTGGGTCCAACTATTGAAATGATATTTTAAAAATACTATGAAATTTAAAATATGGCAAAAGTAATGCAACTCAATAACTTTGAAGGTGTTCCAAATGATGATCCATAAAGGGAATATTAAAATGATGTAGTTTTGCCAATCTCCTCTTTAAATCAAACTTAAAGAATTAATGCTCCCCATCAAGAATTACATGCATTAAAATTCCAATAAATTACTCCAAAAACTTTGGTAGATAAAGATTATGAATCTTTCTAAATGGATTGAACAAATAATATATTTATAGATTTTTTGAAATTATAAAGCATATTTTAAGGAATATTTTTATTATAGATATTTTATTATTGATTTAATGTTAGTATAATAATTTTATTAAAAACAAAAATATTATTCTTGTATATGGCTCAAATTTTAGATTCTAATATAGAATAAATAGGAGAGATAGTGAGCAAAAACAAATTAGAATTAAAAGCTTAACTTTTAACAAAAAACATGGAAGCTGATATGAGTGTTTCTCAAATTGAAGATAATGGAACTGATTATGTGTTGAGATGTATTAAAGGAATGTATAGAGGAATGTTCATATATCTTAATTTAGTGGAAAGTGGAGAAACTATAGGAAGTGATGATAGTTGTACTTTATAGATGGAAGATTGTGGATTAGAGAGAACTCATGTCAAAATTAGATATAAATATAATGAAGAATAGAAGAAAAACGGATATCATCTAACTTGTTTTGGTCCAACTTTAATTAAGATTCGTTATGATTGTCCAGCCCTTATTAAAAATAATATGGAAATAACTATAGGAAAATAAATTTATATTATTCAAACTGTTTAAGAAGGTTTTAATGAAATTTTAGAATGGCTTTAAATGTATGATTTATAAGGATTAAAGCATTTTTTTTTTGGAAACAATATTCATAATTTAAAATAATTAAAATAGAATAAGATTGATTAATTAATAAGTTCTGTATAATCTTATAGTGCCACTCAGGATTAATTGATTAAATTAAGAGAGGCATATAAATAAATAGATGATATAATTCTTTAAAATTATGATGCATTCAAAATAAATTTATTTGATAAATAAAAAAACACAATAGTATTATAATTTGGATGGACTGGTGCAACAATAAGTTCAAAAACATAAAGATATTAAAAACCTCCTGATATTCTGTTAAAGAAGTAAGAAATAGATGATTTAGAAGAAAATCCTGATTTTGAATTGTTAATAAAATTTATACAAGGTAAATATTGGATTTGGGGTTCGAAAACTGATACTTACAATACATTTTATAAATAAAATAAGGAAGAGATCAGATTAATATAACCTGATGATGTAATAAAATTAAATAAGATTGAATTATTAGTATAAAGATTTAATTATGGTTTTTTTTAAGATCTTGGAACAAAAAGAACATAAGAAGATAGTTATACAATAATATAAGATTTATAAGTAAGTAGTAGAGTACCAGTTTCATGTTATGCAATATTTGATGGTCATAATGGAAATTCTTGTGTTAATTATATGTCTTAAAATCTTATGGATAATATAAGAGAATATTTCAATTAAGAATAGAAAGAATTTGATCATCAAAGTAAATTTTTAGCATTTCTATTTGAAAATATAAGAGCAGCTTTTAAAGAAACAGATAGTGATTTTTTAACAGAAGTAGTTTAAGCAAATGCATAAAATGATTCAGGATGTGTAGCAGTTGTAGTAATGATTATAGGTGATTATATTGTAAGTATAAATTGTGGAGATTCTAGAGCAATATTATCAAGATAAGGAGAAGTGATTAATTTAACAGAAGATCACAAACCAAATGTTCCACTTGAATATGCTAGAATTAAAAGAAAAGGTTGTGGTGAAATTATAGGAGGAAGACTTGGAAATCTTGCTGTTTCTAGAGCTTTTGGTGATTTTAGTGAAAAAAAGAAATTTAAAAAAAATGTTATTACTCCTAAACCAGATATTCGAGTTACAAAAATTGATTATAGAACAGATGAATTTATATTATTATGTAGTGATGGTATTATTGATGGTTTTGGAAATGCAGAAGAACCTGAATAAAATAATTAATAATAAATGTCACCTAGTCAAAGAGTTATTGAATTTGTTAGAAATTTATATAAAGAATAATAAATTGGATTTTAAGATCCTTAAGATGCTGCTTAATAAGTTGTATTGAGAGCATATTAATATAATGTTACCTATAGAAGATAATCAGATAATATTAGTTGTATCATAGTTAATCTGACTCGTGGAATTGTTTTTTGACCTCTAAATATTTTATTTCATTTATTCATTTAATTTTATAAATTTTATTAAGAATTCAAGAAATCTCATTATATTTATATATAATTAAGAAATTATAATTTTAATTTAAATATTTTTATTTTTATAATGGGATAAAGTATATCCAATAGTATGAAAGAAAACTAAAAAGAAATGTAAAAAGAAATGCAAAAAAAACAATTAGAATTAATGCTTAAACAGAGATAAGCTTAATTAGCTATTTAATTTGCATCAGGCAAAGAGCTTTTCCATTGGTATGCATCATTTTATTCTTTCATTTTTCCTATTTGTGTAATTGGAGCTATAAAAAAGAAAGTAAACTTTTAAATCATTTTTAGAATCCTTTACCAATTCTAGTATTAATTCCTTTAGGATTTATTTGTGCATATTAATATGATATGTTTTATGGGTAGATATCTAACTTAAATTAGTGATAAAATGAAGAGAATCAAAATAGAAGCAGAAAGATTAATAGAACTAGAATCAAAATTATTTTACTTTCCTAAAAATGCTAATATTGTATCACAAGAAGAGTATGAAACAATTCTGTAAATTAAAAAGAAGGTTAATTGATTATTATTCAACAATTCTTTCCATATAGATATCATTCTAAATCTTTATTATTGTTTATTCCTATTAACAATCAATGATGATTTTAACTAATCTCATAATCATCATTAATTATTAGGTACTTCCTTATCTGAACATTTTAAAAGATATTTTCTTTTAAATTATATTATTTAAACTTATTTTAATTAAGTTGAAACTTAGATTTAGAGTCAATAATTAATTTATTTGAAAAGTGATATTAACAATCATTTTAAAAATTAAAACAACAAAAATTTTATAATTGTTTTATGAGATAAGAAAAAATGATTTATTTAATCAAATTTCAATAAAAAAATTTTGATATAGAGTAAATAATTCAACAAAAAGGAGATAATAACATATTTTTTATTAAAAGAAATTGAAAGATTAATTTGTTTTTTTAATTAATAATAGAAATATATTTTGAATTCCTATGAAGAGAATAGCTTATTTCTATTAGTTATAGATATTAACTTATATTTTATTTAAATTTTCATGTTGAATATCATTTCAGATGTGTTTATAGAATAAAGCGTTGATTTTATAATTTAAATATATAAATTTACATGAAACTCTCACTTCTCCACCTAGAAAGATCTTATCTGGACGCCCTATAAGAATTGGGAGAGCATTCTTTTAAAACTTAAGAGATATGTGTTAACCTTATCGAAATGCTGAATCAAACAGGGAAAAGCCTTATATCCCAAAAGCTTAATGGTGAAAAGTATTTGCAAAGAGCTGTTGAATTAGCCAAATTATTAAATATGGAAGAATAATTAGTTGTTAAATATTAGACATTTATGCTATATGCAGAGTACCTTGAATTTACTAAGAATTATAATTAGGCATATAATTTGTTGATGCATTTAATTCCTCTAACAATTACAAATCAAAAGAATATAATCATGATTTAAATTCAAATTCTAAATCATATAATAGAAAATGGAAGGTTATGCAAAAGAAATAATGTCATCTAATTGAATGAATAAATGTTAAATTTAATGGAAGAAATTGGCCTCAGTTTTTATTTGTACAAAGAATTTCCAATCAAGTTTCAACAAATTTTATTATAAGCATTATCATTCTAAGCAAAAATATACTTAAAATAAAATAAGGATAAAGAGGCTACTTAATTATTCTTTTAGTCTTTTCATCTTTCAGAGGAACTACTTGGATTTCATGATAAGAGAACACAAGAATATAAAAAATAGTATGAAAATTTAAGCGATAAAATATTTGTTAATTTAGAGATTTAAAGTTAAGATGAAGATGAGGAAGATAATTTATAACCAATTTAGGTAACATAGAGAGAAGATAAAAAAATATTATCATTTCGGTCTAAAAATGCTTATATAAATAATTATATAATAAATGTAGATTCAGCTAGAGCACCAAAATTAGTAAAAAAAATTGATAAATCAAAAAATGAAAAACCAATTATAAATTAAAAAGCGGCTCCAAAATTTAATGAATAGTAATTTCAATAGCTGTTTATATTAAAAAATTAAATAAAACGACCATTGAGTTCATAAGGAACAACAAAATTGACTAGTCCAACTAGATGTTAATCAATAATTTCTAAGAAAAATACAGAGAAAATATAAAATAGAGTTCCATCTTTAGAATAAAGTCTAATAAAGTAATTAGAATTTGTATAACCTTCAAATAAATTTAATGATCTTATAATTAATAGACCAAATTATGAATAAGTAAAGAAACATGAAATAGTAAATGGTACAAAATAAAGAAATACAAAATAAATAGCTTCTAATTATTTAATTTAGTTAATACCTCCATCTCACTCATCAAGACCATAAATAAGAGAACCATCAAAAAATAACATAGTTTATAAGGTAGACAGTAAAAAGTTTCCAAGTAATCCTAATAATTAAAAAATTGAAAGAAGTTCTCAAAAAAAAATAACAACAAATGAAATATAACATACAATTAGTAATATTAAACCAGCAGGAAGTGGAATTAATTTAACTAGTGAAAATGATGATGAAAATATTAAATAATAAGAAGATAATAAAGATTATTCATTTGAAGAAGAACCTATTAAAGTATTGACTACTTCAGATCCAATAATATCAAAATTTTTAGAAAAGCATTCTATGGATGTTTTGATTGAAGCTATAGATAGATTAAAATCTAAAATGAAATATCATGTTTATTATTCTAGAAAAAAAAGAAATGAAATTGAAACTAAATAAATTGAAATATCACCAGGTAGATTACATCCACATACTAAACATATGACTAGATCAAGTACATTTGGATTTGAAATGATGGAGATTGTTGAAAAAAAAATATTAGAAAATGAAGCTAGTAAAATTATACATAAATTAATATCTCCTGCAAATTAATTAGATTGGTATCCAATTCATTTTTATACTAAACTTTTTACTAATTATGAAACTTCAAAATGGATATTGTAGAATCCAAAATTTAGAGGTTAAATATACTAAAGAACATAAGATAAAAATTAGTATTAATAATTAAGTGTTGAATTAATTTAGGCCATGTTATCAAATTAAAATAAAAATATAACACTTTAAGTAATTGCTTCAATAGAATTATCAAATAATATGAGAAAATTTTAAGTTAGATTTACTATTGATAATCTAGCTTAACATTATAAAGAAATTTCAAATTATGATGATATGATAGATCTTTTTAATTAATTAACTAATATTTACTTTATTTAAGAAAATTTATTAAATGAATGGAAGGAAGAACATAGATAATATACTTTATATGTAGCTATTAATAATTAAAGACATTCTGATTCTAAAATTAAAAAGATTAATGAAATTAACAAAGTAAATCGAAATGAAGATTCTTAAAGAATTGAATATTATTAGGATTTATTATCTAAAATATTATTTTTAGTAAGGAGAAAAAATTATGTTAAGACAATAAATGGATTTAAGTTTAAATCTGAAAGTTAAGATATTTAAGATTCTATTCAAAAATACAATAATGAGATTTATAAATAAAAAATGCAGAGAATTAAATCTTATTTTTAATATCGAGATTTGACAATGCCAAGCAGAGAATAAAAATAACCAAGAGAATAACCAAAAAGACAACGTAAAAGAATGAAAGATAAATAACTTTTTATTTCTGAAGATAGTTAATAAAACTTGTTTAATGATAGTAATACTTAATAACATGAAGAGAAAAGATCTACATCTAGATTAAAAAGCAGAAAATAAATTGATTCTTTAAGAGGCAGTGAAAAATTTTTAAGATAGAATTCCAATGAAACTTCAAATTCTAAATTTAAATATTAAATATAAATAAAATAAAATACTAGAACTCCTTATTAACATGATACTAAAGTGGAATTGACTGAAATTTTTACACTAGAAACTCAAGATTATCTTTTAAGATATTTTCCTGAATTTAAATTAAATGTACCATAAATAGATTATTATCCAACTTCAAGTCCAAATATATAAAAATATTTAATGGAATCTCATTATAACTTTAGAGAAGAATATCTTAGTTTAAAATAGAGCAAATTGAGTTATAAACCAATTCATTCAGATAATTATTTGATTTAAACTTAAATTGTGAAAATTGAAAATCAATTTTACTTTTTAACTCTAACAAATAAATTAAAATTAGAGTAAATTTTTTGTAAAGATAAATGGGAGGATGAATTAGATATTTAATTAAAAGAATTAATCAATTATTCTATAGGTAGAACTGGATATATTATTGATATAATTAAATTACAAGAGGTTATATAATAAAAATTAGAAATTGTTAATTGCAAAATATAATTAAAATAAGATGAAGAAGATGACTCATAAATTAAAAAAAACTTAAAATTATTTAGATTAAATAAAAAACTTTATTTTGCTTAACAATCCATTCAATTTATAGAAGAAAGTTTAAAAGAAATGTCTTAAGAAAGTTAAAGTCAAGTAGATGATAGCTTAGATCTTATAGATGAATAAAAAAGAGATCCTTTAATTGATATTATATTCTTATTAGGAATTATGGGTTGTAATTCATATGTATTTTATGATATTCATTTAAAGAGATGTTAACTACTTAAGCATGTAGATGGGAAATTAATGTTAACAGAACCAGATTAACCACGAAAACCAAAATTTCCTATCAGATTGATTTTATCTCATGAAGATATGAATAAACATATTGCCAGAACTAATGAAAGTACAATTAATGGCAAAGATATTACATTATTTCCTAATTTTAATTCTCTTTTTTTTGTAAAATAGAGATAATACAATTATAAATTTGTAAAGGTTAAATTGTAATTAATGTCTGATATTAGTAAATTACATTCAAATATTAGAACTTCATCTGCATAAGCCCAGTTATTCATATATAAAAATAATGAGAGAAAAAATAATATTTATTTAAATTCTGAATAAACAGAAAAATGGCTTCATATTTCTTAGATTGATGGAAGAATTAGAGACTTTCTCTTTAGTTATAAAACAATGATGAAAAAAACATTAACTGGAAGAAAGTTGTAATAAAATGAAAACAGATAATCCTTATCTAAAGATAATAGATTTTTACTTATTTAAGATAAATTAGTAAACTCAAAATAATATTATATTCAAAGTAAAATTTAAGATATTGGATACGTTTTTGTTATTGGAACTGTATTTTAAGAATTGTTATTGATCAAAGTCATTCCAAATGGGAATAAGAGTAAAGTTCATATCTTTCTTTATCAAGTCTTTGATGAAGATATAATTAAAACAATGAATTAATTGTGTAAATAATTTATTTTAAGATCGACATTAACTTATTCAAAACTTGAATTAGTTCCTATAACATAAAATAAAATTCGTAAAGCTTATTTGTTAGGAAATTAGTTTTCCAATAATAATATTTTAATTGGATAAAAATTATACTCAAGAGTTATTTATAAATACATTAAAAAAATTGATAAAAACTATTTCATTATAACAGTGACATAAATAATGAATTATTTTTAAATATACTTTTATAATTAAGGCAATAGTAGAAGATTTTATTTTTCAATTCATAGATCAGATTTTTTAATAATGAATAAATATTTTTTGGATTCAATTTTTCCTGAGTAACCAAATGAAGTAATGGAACAATTTTTTAGAAATTGGAAATTCAATGAAATTTCAAAGATTCATTCTTTAATAATAAAAGCCCCAGAAAGTTTTAAAAATAGAACTGAAATGTATCTATAATAAATTAGAGATACAAAAAAGAACTTTAAAAGATCTGCTACTTCAAGTTTATAAAGTATAAATAATTTAATGAGATAATCAACTTTATAATTGAATAATTAATAAGAGAATTCATTTGAAGAAAGTCTTAATAAAGAGTGTTGGCTTTATGATAAAATATTATTAAGAAAGTAGAAAAGTATTTTTGAAAAGAAGTTATGGTTTGAAATTTTAAAGTAGATGAATATAAATAAAAATTAAATAAGTTTAAATACTTTTAAGAGTACATTGAATGAATTAGTTTATTCAAACGATAGAACATGTAATTTCTTATGTTATATTCCATGTTAAGAAATATAATAATCATTTCGATGGTAGCCAATAAGATTAAGGATTTATGAATATGATACTTGTAAGAGTGTTGACATTCCTTTAAGTATAAGAGGTAAATAAGTTTAGATTTATAAATAATGTAATCAAATATTAGAGAATTATTAAAAATATAAAATATTACCAAGTAATTAAGAAATAATGAAAGTAAATAAAAGTAATGATATTGAATGGATTAAATATCAATTATTATATAAAGGTGTATTTATGAAACATAAAATGATGTTTACAGCTATTTATTTCAATAATGATGTGTTTCACATATGTATTTATGGAAGTGGAAATTAAATAATTCGAAAGATGAACATAATTTAAGTAGAGTTAAAGATTCCTTACATAAGACAATTGTTGGAGTTGAATCCTTATGAAGCAGGTAGAAGAATAAGTATAATCTACAGAAACAATTTCATCCATGCATCATTCTTGAATTTGTGATTTAATTAATTAATTTAACATGTCTGTATATAGTGGTTTTAGTACTCGTGCTCTTGAAAGTGAATACAATTAATGCATCTTATAATTAATAACAATCTTGGCTAAGAGATGTGCTTTAGCCTTATAGATTTAATAATTGTAAGATGATACAAAATTTACAGGGAACTTTGGAAAGTTATATGGTTAAATAAAGAAATTAGAAGAATGTAAATATGCGCCTCCAAAATATTCAGTTGTATTAAAGGAACTTAGTGAATAAATAGGAATCACTTAATTAAAGTAAATCTTGATTCCTAAATAATGCAAAAGAAAATTGACAATATAATGTGCAAATAATTAACAATAACAAAATTAGTAAAATATCACACCTTGCAAAAGATAGACTAAAACAAGTTATCTTAGAACAAATAGATTAAAAACAGAAGATTCTGCATATAGTAAAGCAATAGAAAAGAGTTTAAGGTATAGAGAATTAGAATTTTTATGTTAATTTGATTGACTTTAATTAATATTAATATAAATATCATGGAAGTCAAATATCGTCCACCACTTAATGATGTGTAATATTAACATACTAACAACATAGAAATGAATGTAATTGGTTGGAGAAAAACTTTATATCTTGTCTTAAAGAAAAGAGTGTGAAAGATGACTTACCAAAAAGAGTATGCAAAGTGGAAAATGTATTAATTAAATTTATTTAAGATTCTTTGGTTCTTTTTAGAATGTCCTGAAAGATCTTCACCTTATGAGAACTCTGAATCATTAAGATAGATTTATATCAAATAAAAATTGGCAGATCTCAATCCAACAGTTCCTGAACCCAGAAAAAGAAAATGAAATGCATAATCATTATAATAAATATAATTATAAAAATTATTATTCATCAACCTCATGATTTATTCAACTTTATATTGAAAATAAATATTTTAATTCATTTACTCATATTCTAACAACATTATCAAAATCAAATTCTTTTTTTCGTATTTTTGTCTAAATATAATTTAAATATATCTAAACATTTTAGATTATGAGATATAATTACTACATACTAAATCTATTATTTTTAATGTTTTCATTTTTATATTGATAAAAAATTCTCCCTTGATTCATTGTGGCTATTTTTTAAATCTAAAATAAATTTGTCTATAAATACATCTAAAATCAATATCTTAAAATCTATATTAATCATTTCAAATTTAAAATGTAACAGAAATATTGAAAAAATTATTCAGTTCATCCTTTTCTAATTAAATTGTTAATTTAATGGAATATTAAGTCAAAATTTTTTACTTAAATTATACTTTGTATTAAAAATCTATAAGTTTTATAATGATTTCTTTATAACTGAATTACAAGATTAATTATTATAAATCTATTTATCATTAAATACTTACTTAGCACTTAACGTCTTCAAATTATTTGGATTTAATATACTAAATTTGTTAAGATCTTTATTTAATCATGCTCCCTAAATTTCTGTTTCTCATCTTCCTTAAAACATAGAAAGATGTAAAGGATTAAACCACAAAATATTTTCATTTTTTTTTTTTAAATAACTCAGGAAAAATATATTATGGAGTTCATTTCCTTCTTATTTAAATAATTCATACAATTTTATAAGCCTAACATTTAGCCACTGTTGTTTTATTTAATACCTTTTTTCTAGTACCCTTTTTCATTTTAGCCAAAATGTAATTGATGTAACGAAAAGGTATAAATTATTGATTAGTTTGTAAATCTTAATTACTAAAACAAGTTATATATATTTTATAATTCTAAGATTTCGATAAAAAATATTTAATAAGTATGAAATCTGTAATTTAATTTTAATGAATATCAACTAGACTAAATTCTTGCCTTGAATTCAAATATTTCCTTTTCTTTAATTATTTCATCAAGCATTTCAACATTTTCAATATTTCATACTAAATTTAAAATGTTTTGATTTTTATTTATGTGGTTTTCTTTAAAAATTGTAAACTAATCTTATGGTTTTTATCATTAAATAATTCTTTTACTCTTATCTTAAGATAGTTTTATCATGTTATATGCTATTAGAAAAAAAATATTTGGATTATTTTTTAAAGTCTTACTTATAAATCTATATTCTCTTTCTAGATTACTTTAAAATAAATCTTAAACCAAATTTATTATCTTGATTAGAATGTTATATATTTGTTAATTGATAAAAATTTGATATTTAAAAAAAAATACCTTCAAGATTTTTAATAATAAAATTATTTATTCATATGATTTTTTTTGTTGAATTTTTACAATCACGAATATTTGCTAAAATATTATTTTTTTATTAGCTTAATAAGTAAATTTAATTGATTTTAGATTATTTGATAAATTATATCACATTCATAAAAAATCATTTTGCCTTCTTTAGGATTAGTCTGTTACAAATTTTTTTATTGAATAAAAATATAGGAAAAGTATAAATAATTTCAAATATCCTACTTAACTTTATTCTAATTCATCATTCTAAAAAAAATAATAAAATTTATGTTTAATCAAATAAATCATTATTCATCTGAATAATAAAGGAACGAATTAACTTCAACAAAAAGAAACCCTTTACCTACTAAAAGTATTCAAGATGCATCTGTTTAAGTGGAGTTTTCAAACATATAGTTGATGAAAATCATTGATGATATAGATAAAATTCATTAATAAGAAAAAAAAGCACTACTTGAGTAAATCAATTATTTAGAAAAAAAACTGTAATAAACAAAAGCAAAACAATTGACTTAATGTATAAACGAAATTAAGAACATATACCTAAATTAAATTGAAATAAATAAACCAACTCGTATGGCATTGGATTCTTTAGAGTAACTTATTAATGAAAAACAACACTATGAAGTCTCAGATCTTAAATATCGCTTACATCAAGCAGAGAAAGTTTTAAAATTACCTATTGCAGAATTTAAGACTTACCCCGTAGAAAAACTTGTGAATTCTATAAAGAAATGTCAATAATTTGAATCTGAAAATACAAGTTTAGCTAATATTTTGGAAGAAATAAATTAAGCTGATGATCATTGGAATTAAATTTAAAAGGAATTATATGACGAAAGCACCAATTTGATAAATTCATTATAAACAACTACTCAAAATATTGTTTATGAACTCTCTTTACTCGATTGCAATAAATGAGAGCCTAACTTATTGTTATTGTAATGATAATTTTTATTCTGAATGCTATTTATTATAATAAGTACTTTTATAGAATCTTTTAGGAATTTTTCTTAAATAAGAATTTAAATCGAAATCACTAGTTATTTTGAAATTCCCTTTTATTCTTTTTTTAGAATGATTTAAATCATTTAATTCAACATTTTTATTGCAATAATAATAAATGACTAAATTTTCAATAAATTATAATCTTTATTTTAATTATAATTTAAGTTCTTAAATCCTAATTTTAAATTGTAAATATTTTATTAAAACACACATATAGAAAGTTTTGAAAATTAAATTATTAATCTTTAGATAAAAGTAGAGAATTTCTAATCAATTAGATTGGTATACTGAATTCTAACAGAAAATTATTAATAATTCTTTAAATGTTTGTAGGGTAATATTAACTTTTTTGCTGATTCAATTTTTATTTTAATGAATTAAGTATGGTTTTTTAAATTGTACCAAAGTTAGCATTTTAGATGGCTAATTAGATTTTTAATAGTTTAATATTTTAAGTTTGAATAATTATATATATAAATTTTTACAAATAATTAATTTTCCATATGTCTTTGAGACTTAATGATCAAAAAAATTATAATTAAAAATGTTTTAATATATTTTTTATTTCTAATCATTTTGTTTCTTCCTAAACTTCCCAATAATATCCTGAATTCTTTTCATTAATTTTTTAATCTTAACCAACCCAATAATAATCTGCATTAGAATCAGGGAATTATATTTCATCAGGTTTTTATAAAAGAGGATCTTTTAAGTCTACATTAACTTCTGTATTATCATCCAAATCCTCAGGTGGATGTTAAATACCCCAAATTTCAATAATTTTTATATTAAGCTTTTTAACATATGGAAGCACAATTGGACCATTTTCGTAAGTGTCATCAAATTAATTACAATATGAATTATCAAAGTTTTTATCAATCCAAATTCTGAATCCTTCAGCATTTTTACCTCCAAAGCCAAAACCTTTTTATGAATCTAAATAACAATAATTTTATTCTCCTTTTTTTGATTTAAATATTTTGTAATAAGGATAGAGACTAAATACACAATCATCTTTTGTTCCAAAATATTATTTAGTATCATACCATCTTAAATTAGTAATTGCACCAAAAGTTTAATGTTTTTATTTTTAATCATAAATCTCTTAATGTTAAACCAAAACTAAAGTAGGTAATTTACTATCTAAATTAAATATATAATTTATCACCTTTCATTGCTTAGATCATTTAATTAAACCCACCCTAATGAGCAATACTAGAATAAAGCAAAGTTAATTAGGAACAATTTTTTAAGACTGAATTTGTACTAAGTAGTAATTGAAAACATAATTCATCAGTCAAAAAATAAGATGGTGTATTGACAACAGGAATAAAGTTCTTTATTTATTATCAAATAATACATTTATTTATTTTCCCATAAATTTCGCTTGAAAATAAATTTTAATTGCTTCTTTAGTTCCTGGCATTTATTTTGTTACAAAATCTACTAAACTAACCCAAGAAAAAGAACCTGATTCATTTTCTAAATAATTATTTAATTTTTTACTATAAAGCATATCAACCAAAGTTTTAATATATCTCTCATTCGTATAAGCAGCTTTTTTACCAATTTAATGCATTTTAATTAAATCCTTATTAATAGATTAAGTAATTACTTTAATCACTCCAATAGTGTCTAAATATGTCAATTGCAATTGAGCTAATTCTTCTTTGGTTGTTAAAAACTTTGAATCTTGCAAAGAAATTAAAGACATTAATTCAAATCTCTCTAAGTTCTTAAATGTTGGAATATTAGTCTAGACATCTTTAACCAATAGTTCCACTTATTATAAGTTAGCATATTACAAAATTCAAACAATGGCTCTTTCTTAATCAAACCTTCAGATCCAGAATATGATTCTAAAAATTTGAATAATTTAATCCCAAATGTTGGATTTTCACAAAAAATATCTTCAAAGGATTTTTAGTTCAATCCTTTTACATCACGAGTTCTTAAATAGGTATTTTATTTACTAGCTGCTTAATTCACAATAATAGTGGAACTGATTATTGAGTGCTTAATATTCAGCTTAATCAAAAGCTAATGGAACAGGATCTTTTCGACTTCCGTAACAATTACCCATTTATATAAAATAATATATAAATAAAACGATATAATATATAAATTTTATTTAATAAATGTTTATTATCATTAAAAGGGTATATTTTTAAAGATAACCAAGCTATAAAAATTCGGAAGTTTTGTTATTAACTATATATGTAAGTATATATAAAATAGAATCCAAAATATTAAAAAATTTAGAGTCGATTATAATATATATATATTATCCTTAAATTTAAAACTATTTATTTTGCTATATTAATAATTATTATTAAATCCTTTGCAAAATCTACGTATGTATAATAATCAGAATAAAAATCATTTCTATTTAGAAATTATTTGATGATAAATTTTCAGATTTCTTATGAGTTATTTTTTCTATCTGAAATCTATTTTTTTTTACTTCTATCCTAAAAAATATTATTAAGATTAAATTTGGTATATTTTTTCAATAAAATTCAAACCAAAGGAAAAATATAAATAAAAAAATAATAAAGCATTCTATGTCGAAATATTTAAACATTTTGTATTAATATTAGAGGCAAATTAGTGTTAATAAATTTTGGTTGAGTGTATTATGGAATTTTTAGACAATATATATTAATTTATAATATTTATTGAAAAAATATAGAAAAAATGTGCCTCACAGCAGTGGCAGATATTTTATGTTGTACAGGAATGGCATGTTGTAAGACTCTATGTTGTTGTTGCAAAAGTTGTTGTGGTTCTACATTTAAAGAATAGATAAAGTTGGCTTACATATTACTAAATTATGTCACAATATTTGTTACAATGATATTTTGTTATTTTCTCTAAGGTTTGTTCGATAACTATTTAAAATTTATTGAATGTCCAGTAGATTAGAATTCCTAATGTTTAGGAGTTTCAAGCATTTATCGTATATGTTTTGTTATGATGTGGATGTATATATTTTTAATGATCTTTATGTTAATAAGAGGGGAGATAGCAAAAATTGCAAATGAAGGTTTATGGCCTATTAAATTTTTGTAATTTTGAATTTATAATATAGGTTCATTGCTCTTTTCTTTTTTGGAAGTCTATTTATATCGAATGAATTTTTTTAAGGATATGTGTATTTTTCAATAGTTATAAGTGGACTATTCATGGTTTTTTAAATTATTATGCTAATAGATGTATTTTATCTTTGGGGTTAATGTTGGATAAAAATATATGATGATGGAGGAGAATATATGAAATATATATTGATTATAACAACAATAGTTTTATATGGAGGGGCATTAACATTGAATGTTTTTAATTTTATGTGGTTCTCTGGATGTGGAGCAAACATTTTTATGAATATATTTACAATAATTTTGATTGTTGGAGCAACTGGTGTTTAATTATTAGGATGGAATCCATAAGGATCATTACTTACTTCTGGAGCTATGGCTATTTATATTGTATTTCAAGCTTATTAAGCTTAATCATCTTGGCCTGATAATGAATGCAATTCCTTATCAAAATCTTAAGGCACCAGAATTGTCGAAATAGTTGTAGGCGTTTTATTAACAATTGTCTCTCTACTATATTTGACCTTTGGAACATCTAATTCATCAGCAACTAATATTGTATAGCTAGAATCAAAAAATGAAAAACTAGAAAGTCAATAAAGAGAATCAAATCAAGATGAAGAACAATAATAGTTATTATAAAATTAATAAAAATTAGAAGAAGCTTAAGCAATAGTAAAAGAAGCAGAAATGTAGCCATATAAAACTAATCAATATTTACTCTTTCATTTTATCATGTTCATCACTATTATTTACATGATGATTTTATTGACTAATTGGAGTTAACCAGATTTCAATGAAACCTCTTTTCAAGCATATTAGCCAAACAAATTAGCATATTGGGTATTTAATTAGCTTAATTATTTAGGTCAAAATGGTCACTTCTTGGTTAGCTGCTCTTCTTTATATTTGGACTTTAATTGCTCCTCATATATTCCCAGATAGAGATTTCAGTTGATTTTAACATATAAAGATTTTATATCAATTAACAATCATAATATACTTATATCCTTTATTCAAATTTGAGATAATTTAATAAAAAATATCTTTTATTTTTAATTTGATATAATTCTTCTTTATTAATAAAATTAATTAACAATAAATAATTAAATACATTTTAAGAAAAAATTCATTATTAATCATTCTCCCATCTTCTAGCAAATAAAATAGGATGATTATATTACTTTAAGTTATCATAGATTACTTCCTAAATAATTTGTAGTTCTTTAGATAATAACTATTAATTCACTACTTATAAGTAATTATACATTAATTAAGAAAAACCTTTTGTAAATTGTTCTAAATTATTATTAAAATATTGACTCAACTTTTTATCATGATGATTGTAAAATACACATCCAACTTTTTCAAAATATTATTCAAAGTTAAGAATCCAATGTTATAAATCATCTTATATTTAAGAGGGACAATAATTTTTAATTGCAAAAGCTTTTACTGCTAAAAACTTTCTTAATAAAAAATAGCATTTTTGTTTATCTTCAGTATCATTAGAGTCAAATTTTTTTAAAACTGAATTTAAAAATATCAAAAATTTATATGTTGGTCTTATTGTTGCTGCTAAAGAATCAAGTAGAGTTTTTTATTTTTATTTTTCTTAATCCTTTTCTTAGTTCTATTATTCTAAATCCGTTAACTTATTAACCGATATATCAGTTTTAGTTCTTTATTTAAGATAATCTCCTCTTTTTGATAGAATTTAATTTTGTTTTATCGATAAATTTTTTAAATCTGATAAAGAACACACTGTAGGACTTTTTCTTTATCTTAATGGTGAAACAAATAAATTTCTTAGACATTAATTAATTTGGGTTGGAGGAGCTTCTTATTTGTAATTTATACTTGTTTTAGGAAATAATGGAGAATTAGAACTAACCTTATTCTGAGATTAACAATTTGAAATCTAATAATTTTTAATTGTATCATTAGTACTATTTGGATTACTATGTTAATGTGTATCACTATTTTCAGATGGTTATTGATTTTATTAAGGATTTAACTTTGTTATGTAAATTGACTAATATGTAGGATTAACAATTCGAATTTATTTTTTTGATTTATCTTTAATTTCTTAAGGTGATGACTCAAATTATTGTTTACCATTAAATAATTGATTTGATTAAATTTAATTAAACTTTTATGTAGACTATTTGTTATTATTACGGAATGAGATAGGTTCTTTAGTTTCATCAATTTCTGGCAATTCATCAGGTAAGGTTTTTAAAATTTTTTGTAAATTTCCAAAATTATCATTTTGAGAATTATCATGAATTTAATCATAACCACTTGATCTACGTAAGATCTTACACGGAATAAGCTTATGTTAATTATTAAATTTCAATTTTTTCTATTAATTTAATATAGACAGAATTTCATCTATACTTGATCGTTTTTATTAATCCAATTCTAACATACCTATAAGAATATCCTAAATTTTTTTAATCAATGATTTATCATTCATAATTTTAGAGTTGATTTATTATGATTTACTATATAAATCTCCATCCTTTTTAAAATTAAAAGGAATTTCTTTATATACCATAAAGTAAAGAAGTACACCTAAAGACCAAATATCTGATTTTTCTGAATAACAATTTAACTGAACTGATTCAGGTGCCATATAAACTGGAGTTCCAACGCTAAATCTTTTTATAATACTCTCAAAATCATTTTCAATAATTGCAAATCCAAAATCAGAAAGTTTGTAAATTCCATCAGATCTCAGAATGTTTGCAGGTTTTATATCTCTGTGGATGATTTCTAAAAATATTATAGAATTAAGAGAATATACTTTGATCATGTAAAGCTTTAATACCCTTAGCTATTTGAAGAAAAATATTAAGAATTTCTATCTAGTTAAAATTGGTTTTTTACAAAATATTAGCAAGATCACCATCATTACAATATTCACATATTATATAAGTATTATTTTTAGTTTCAAAAATCTCGTAAACTTTCATTAAATTTACATGATCTAATTGTTTTAAGATAGCGATTTCATTTTTTAAAAGAGTTTGTGAAATAGGAGTTGTTAATGTGGAAAAATTTATAACCTTTATAGCAACAATTTAATTAGTTTAAAAATTGATGCCCTTATAAACAGATGATGAATAACCTTCTCCTATAATGTCATTTAAGAAGTAGGAATATTTTTAAACTATTTTTTAGATTTTTGATTGAGCTTCAATCATTCTTATTTGTGCTCGATTTTAAACTTAATAAAAATTATTTTGATACTAAATGTAAGTATTATATAGTATTTATAATTCTTAGGAAATAAAAATATTATATTAATAGAAATAATGACATTTTTCATGTTTTTAGGTTTGATTTTTATTAATTTAAAAAATGTATGTATAGACAAAATCATAATTTAAAGTGAATCACTCATTAGAAGAAAGAAAAAGAATATATTCAAAAAAACAAATAATACATCCTACTAAAATTTTGATAATATTAGAACAATTTATTGATAACTCAGCCTCCTATTAGCTGTAATAATACATTATAATAAAGAGATGTTTAGCTGATCCAGACTAGCTAATGATTAATTTTGAGGCTGAAATGAACTAATAGATAAAAAAAAAAATACCTAAAGCCAAAAATATTTCACTTTTCTTTTTTATAAACAAGGCTCTACCCTAAAAAGGTAGTAATAATTCATATAGCTTTAAGATTTTACTATGGGGCAATTACAGTAAAAAATGCAAGACAAAGAAGATGGATTTTTATACGTACAAGTAAAATCCTTAGAGACCTTAGGATCACTATATTGAATTTATTTTTGTATTTTATATCAAAACAATAGCATCAAAAATCATCCTAATCAAAAGAAAGTATTGTTGGTTTATTAGTTTTCTTTACAATTTCATCTATTTTTGATTTCTTCGCTAAAGTAGGTTTCTAGGTTTGTGATAATTAAGCAAATTATTTTTTTAAATCTTCTTCCTACTTCTCTTTTTCATTTTTTTCTTCTTATTGTCCAATAACAGACTTAATATTCTTGCTTTTTTAATCCTATTTCTTTTATTTTTTTGATCCTACATATTCAGGTTTGAATTTGTTCATATTAAATTCGAGATTACCATCATTTCCATTTCCATCAATAACTAAAGCATTTTCTACATCATATTTATCTTCATCTTCATCTTATTATATAACAAGTGGATCATCATCATTGTTTTTGATTTTCTTTTAAATTTTATCTTCAATTTTGTAATTTTATGAATCTATATTACTTCCTCCGTTCACTCTCATTCTGAATTGTTCAATGAATTTTACTTAAGGTTTTTCAAATTCTAAATTAATTCTATCAATTTTCTTTCTCATAATTGTCTTAAAAAATATATTACTATCTTTATTTAGTATTTTAAATATATAGCATTAATTTATCGTAATAAGAATGTTTACATAAAGTAAACTTATTATCAATTAAAAATTTCACAAAATAATAGATTAAATTTAGATTGTCTTCCTATTTTTCTCTTTATATAAAAAAATAATCATTTCTATGTGTCTATGAAAACATAGTTTTTATTTAATTTTTCTATATCCTTTTCCAATAAGGCCAATTCCTTTTCACACTATTCTTTCCTTAAATAGAATTAATAATATACTTTCTTTTTAATCCAACAGTGTCAATCATTCTAATATGTGTAATTGATTAATATTCTTTATTTACAGATTCCCATTTTTTTTTCAAACCTAATTTCAAATGTTCAACTTCTTCAGACGTCATCAAATATTTTTATTTATCTCTATCTTCAGCTTCACTCAAGTGCATATTTCTGATGATTTCATATTCATTATTGATGCTACTTTAGATTTTTGTTAAATAATCTGGTACTTTTCCATAATCTTTTTTTTGAGTCCATTCTTTCTCTTCTGTAATTTATTTTGGAGCTGAAAGAATATTTTCAACTGCATTTGTAACAATAAAATTCTTATTAGATTTAAGTCCATGTATTGGTTTTTCATCTTTTTTTGGAACTGCTGCTTTGCATGATTATGGATATTTGAATTATTAAACTACACTTAAGAAAGATATGATTACTTTCAGGCAATTAATTAGATCCCATAGTTCCAGTATTCTTCATTCTAAACATGGTAGCATCAGGTTTGTATGAACCTTATTAAATCTCATAAATTACCTTTAGGTTTTCCAAGAGAATTAGATTATCCTTTATGAGTATGAGGTCCTTTTGCTAATTGGAAATCACCATTTATATTGTTGACCTAAATAATAATGTATTGTAACTTAAGGTCGACTTGTTGTATGATTATTAAATGTGCTGGCAGTAGGTACCAAACCATTAGGATATGCTGATCTATACATTGGTTCTTTGGGTGGTGGTACATACTCTTTAGGAATCAAATTATATATGCTTTCCTGTTACATTTATTTTATCTATTTTTAATTTAAATATTTCTATTTATTTTTAAGTAAAATGTATATTGAATCTTTTTTACTCTATTAAATAATGTTTGAAAAGAGTCAAATATTTGATTATTATGAATAACATCTTTATTTCGATAAAAAAATAAATAGGAATAGATTATGAATCAAATTAAATAAAATATTTGAGGTAGTTAGAATAGGAGGGGATAAAGTTAATTTGTATTTATAATAAGGTTGGTAATGGATGAGAATTTTAATTTAATTGTAAGAATGGGATGAGATATGAAAGATATTAAAAATAAATTAAAGTGAAAAGTGATTTAATATAGAAAAAAGATAAAAGTATTTAGAAGGGATGTAAATTAATTAGTTATAATAAATAATATTTATATGGGTTCATGCAATTAATGTATGTAGAGACAAGAACCGTTGTAATAAGTAGCAATATAGAACAATCCCGTGAATTTATTGGAGGAAAATCATATTAAAATGGCAATAAGAATTTAGACAGCATATCGTGCATATATTTGTAGATAAAGATTTAAGTAAGAGTATAAGTAAGAGAAGTAGATAAGAATTAGCGAAAAGAAGATCCATGAATTAAAAGAGAAGTAATTCAACAGATGACTGTTTAATTGAACATCATACTAACTCTTATTCTCCAAGAATAGATCCTTAGGAGAATCGAAATGTATTGCTTATGATTGATTATCATGGGAAAAGGAAAAGTCTTTCTCATTTCGGAAGAGAATTTAGTGCTAAATTATAACCAAAAGAATCAGATTCATTAGATGATGGTGATTCTGAATAAGTGGAATAAACACCTTTGTAATAGAGTACATCTCCACCTATAAAATCTATACGATCTTCATAGAATTAATAATCTAAGAAAATGTAATCCTTTAGATTTCGATGTGTTTTAACTCATGAAATATTAGAACCTAGGGATAAGATTAAATTATAAACAATTAATAAAAGAATTAAATTAGATTCTATTAAGTTAGTTGGTGGTAACATTTACAATGGTGAATGGTTGGATTAAATGCCAGATGGAAAAGGAAAATATACTTTCTCTGATTAATCTTTTTATTAAGGGGAATTCAGTAAGGGTTGTTTGCATGGTAGAGGAGAATTTAAAAGTAAAGAGGGTAATACTTATAGAGGTGAATGGTAGAATAATAAAATGCATGGATAAGGGATTTATATGTATAATAATGGTTGTAAATATGAAGGTATTATTATGTATAATTATCAATTAAGGGAATTGGGAAAGAGATCTACCTAATGGAGAAGGAATGGAATGGTATATGAATGGATCAGTATATGTAGGTAATTTCTTAAATGGAGAAAAACATGGATTAGGAAAAATTACATTCATAACTGGAGAAATCTATGAAGGAGAATTTGAATTTGATGATTTTAATGGAAAAGGAATATATGTATTATTTACAGTAGATTTATCTAGAGATGGCAAGATGGTAGAGTTTATGAAGGAAATTGGTAAGATGGAAAAATGAATGGTAAAGGCAGATTAACATGGCCAGATGGAAGATATTATGAAGGTGAGTATTTTAATGATTAAAAACATGGCTTTGGTATTTTCTAATTTGCTGATGGCCGTAAATATATTGGATTATGGAAATAAGGACTTTAGCATGGATAAGGAGAATTCTATAAATGTATTGGATAAAATTCTACTAAAGGCATTTGGAAACAAGGAAAACTAATTAAACTTCTATGATCTTAACTGCTATTAATTTATTTCTTCTTTATTTCATACTCTATTTTTTTTAAATCTTTATTTATTATTAAGAAATTTTATTTAGATTTATTTGTTATTTATGTTCATCTATCTTAATTTCTTATAATTAACAATTAATAATAGTTCTTTAATTTATTTCTTTGATATTTTAGATTAAATTATGGTAGAATTATAGATTAATACAATTAGTATAAACAATCTGAATTATTTATTAATGAATTACAAATTCTATTTATGAAAGAAGTTTTATTATAAAAAACAACTTTAAGACAATAAAAAATTGTATATATTATTATAATCATGTTAATAATTTTCCCAAATTGATTTCATGAGTGTTCCAATTATTACCTAGTTTATTAATGTAACACTAAGACGAGACTTCCAACATCATTATACAAATTCAAGAAGAGTGTAAAATTGTTGTAGATCTTACTCAATTAAGGAGAGAGCATTACAACGTATTATCAAAAAAAGAAAAAGATGAGGCTTTGTTAATGCTAGGACCAAATCCTTTATTTAATGATTTTAAAACAGTAAGTTAAGCTTTTGGAACCACCATTAAAAATTTAAAAAGATGGCTTAGATGTGGTACAGAAAGAAAAAAAGGATGTGGCAGAAAAAAACTTAATCCCTATGCAGAGAAGTAGTTGATTGATTGGGTTATAGAGAAAGTTTAACAAACAGGCAAAAAGATATCGAGATAAGAATTAAGAGGCAAAGCATTAGAGTTATTCAAAAATTAGCATTTTTGTGCATCAAAAGGATTTCTTGATAAATTTGTAAAATCCTATTAATTAAAGAATAGGATGAATGAGTAATGTATTCTTAATAAACTAGAATCCTAAAAAGGATTGGAAAATTAAACACTAAAAACTTTTACAAAAAATCAAAATAGATTTAAACCAAAATTGAGGAAGAATTATAAGTAGAAACTGTTAAAAAAGAAGAAGAAATAGAAGAAGTCAAAATAGAAAATATTAATTTAAAACACAATAAAAACTGTTCTGTGTTTTAAATTTAATGAATTTGTTTTATATTTTTGAATAATATCTCCTTTTTATCTGTATTAAGTTGAAAATGTCTTCTATTTCCTACTTTTTTATATTTATTATTTATTTTTATTTTAAAGAAAGCTTGTAAAACGGTATCAGTTAGAGATTGACTCCATTATTCCAGTACCTTTATTTTTTGGATTTTATCTTCCAAGATCAAATTCAACTAATGGCTAGACTTTGGTGCCTCATGATTTATAACTAATCTAACTCTTTTAAAATTGATTCCTCTAACCAGTAAATAAAAACAGAGCATTATTTTATAAACGCTGTATATATATTTTAATATCTCTTATGACTGAAACAATTTTAAATAACATATCTCAAATTTTTAGAAAATTATTTTTGTGGATTTTATACTAATTTGATAATTAGATTAACTAAATCTTTCCAAGAGTTGTTTTTAATTCACATATTCATGATTATCATATTATAATATAATTATTATTATAATATATTAATAAAAATCAATCAGTAACAGTGGCAAAGGTTCTATAAACTTAAACATCTGTTAAATTACGACTATGTCTTGCCATACTCTATCTTTTAAATTTTTCAGCTAATTTGACTTTTTCAGTATCCTTTTTGATTTATTCAATTTATTATTTAAGATTAAGAATCTTCTTAGGAGGAGAGACAGGTTTAAATTAGACATAAACTTATTATTTAGATATTCTATCTGTTTATGCTTCATATTAACTTAAATCTTAAGCTTTTTATTGATTGAGTTCAAAAATTAAGAGATCACTCTTAACAAATCCTGTGTAATTTACACCTCCAAACACAAATAATTTTTCATCAATTACAGCGGCAGAATGACTACATCTTCCAGAAGTAGGATATCTTTTAACATCAACAAAACTCCATGATAAATTACGTATTTCTAAGATATATAAATCATTTAAAAATCCTTGAGTATTTATATCATCATTTTTGCCACCATAGATTATAATTTATTAAGTAAGTTCTATATATGTCATTGAATGTTAGCATCTACTGATTGGAGCTCTACCTTTTGATTAAACTTCCTCAATATATATGGGTCTTCTTCTTACATCTATTTTTATGAGTTTATCTAAATAATGTCCATTTGAATCAAGACCTCCAAAAATATAAACTCCTTAATTCTCATAAGTCATATCGACATCATGCTTATAAAGATCTATAGATTTATGTTCTAAAACACAACAAGATTTATGGAATGCCACTCCATCTTAATAAACTGGTGCATTTATTTCCACATTTTACCATCTCTAAGTTAAAATATCATATGCTAAAAAATCATTCAAATAATGCCCTTTTTAATCTATACCACCTTAAACCAAAAGATGTCTCCCAATAACTTCAGCTATATGACCCTTTCTTGGAGATACTATTCCAGCATGCTGTACGATTTTCATCTCATTATTTACTAAGTTAATATGAGTCACTTCATTTGTTATATCACAATGAATTCTTTCTTATTTTTGTGGTGAGTATAAAATTCCTCCAAAAATTATTAGTTAGCTTTTATAGATGTTGGCTGTGTGGTATGACCGAGATTAAACTTATTATTTTAATTTTATCAATGTCCATTTATAAAATTCTAATTTAATTATAATTATACATTTATCTACAGTTGCTTAATAAAGATCATTCACGTTTCCTGAACCTGATCCTCCATATAAATAAAGTTTATCATTGTAATTTACCATTGCACTACTTTCTCTCGATGAAGGATTCCAACCATTATTTTCGTTGTTATATATATAAACAACAATTTTTTTAACTTCATTGATAATTCGAGATTTAGTTTGTTCAATTTATTATTTAATTAATTCCGTTTCTTAACGAACCAGTTCTTAGGAACAACCCATTTTCAGTTATCTCTTAATCTATTATTAACGAAATTAATCTTTTGTTGAGATGGATGGATATGATTTAACTCCCTAAGTCTCAAGATGTATTTTTTGGTATTCTTTATTTATTCCATCAAGTTGTAACTTTAATTGAATTTCATTTTATTTCTTAATACGATAATAAGCATCTCTATTATGGAGTAATTCCATTTTCTTAGAACTATTTTATTTTTCTATAGGACTGGCAGCAAATAAAGCTCTACTAAAATTATTCCACATAATTTTGGATTAGTGAAGAGATCTTTATAATTCATCTATAGCATCTTGATTGAGCTATTTGAATGAAATGAAATGAGTATTATCACACTCAGGATGTTATTGAAGTAATTCTTATCCAGCTTCTTAAACAATAGATTGAAATGATTCAAGAGGAAGAGGACTCATGATAGCCTTTTTCTATTTGTACTTTTCTAGAATATCGACAATTTTAAGAGAATTTCTAGGAGATGATTCCAAACTACTCATTTTTTTATAATTAATATCATTTTTTCTTCTCCTACTATTATTGTCCAACACTAAGATCTCTAAGTACAACAACTTAATTAGTAGCTCTATTGTATTCCCAACCTCCAAAAATTAAAATATGTGGGCCAATAGATGTAGCTGTATGTCCATATCTATTTCTGGGTGCATTTCCTTCATATTTGGCTTTTTCCCAACACATTTTCTCAGTATTTAATACAATTAAGTAATCAATATCAGGAGAAGTGGCAAAATTATTTTCACTATAGAAATAATTTTATAATTAAACCTTCTAGCTCCTGAATTAAATGACCATCCTCCAAAAACAACAATATCAGCACCACTAACATTAGCCGAATGTCCATATCTTGGAGCTGGAGGAGTGCCACTTACTCTTAGTCTACTCCATGCAAAATGTTCAGTGTCAAGAATACGAATATCATTTAAATAACAACCCCTTAGATATGATCCATGTCTTGGATTAGCAGTTTTATTTAATGTTTTAAGATTCTTATCTTCTTAATAATAGAAACCTCCTTATATAATTAAGTTAGCTCCTACTTATATAGCTGTATGTCCTTAACGAGGAGTAGGAGAAGGTCCTGTACAAGTAGGTTAAGACCAAGCCATGACTTCTAAATCTAAAACATAAAGATCATTAAAATAATCAATTCCATTCCAACCTCCAAATATTATCATTTTGGTTGAAGCATACTAATAATCACTATTTTAATATTATTACTAATGTAGCAGAATGAGAAAATCTAGCACTAGGAGAACCAGATCCTTCTGGTCCCTAATACCAAGTTAATGTTAATGGATCAAGTGCATGCAAATCTCTAAATACACATTTTTCTCCTTTTCCTCCAAATATAATTATTCTTTGACCTGCCAAAACTGCAGAATGAGCATATCTTGGGGCAGGTGGAGTACCTTAAACTTTTGCTTTAAACCATCTATTTGCATTTACATCCATTTAATATGTGTCATTTAAGTATTTATATCCTTCATCTTTATTTGCATAATAATGTCCTCCAAATAATATAATAGAAGCTCCACTCAATGTTGCTGAATGACCACCTCTAGCACATGGAGGAACTCCTTCTATTAATGGTTCTGCCCATTACCATTTTCTTGAATCAAATGGTTAATATTTAAAGCCTTCTTACTATAATATATTACTTTATTACTCATCCTATTGCTATTCTCCTTAATATTCTTAATACTCTTCTTGCTGTTACATATCTTATTCTTCATCATCATAATATTGTTAACCTTCCATATCACCTTCTTAATCATCTCCTTCATCATATTACTCTATGTTATTCCCAGAATATTGTGAATCTTCTCTCCCTTCAGAATACATTAATTAAATTCAATTATTATATAATTATTGTCTCACAAAAATAATTCTTCTTCTCTCTTTATCAAATTGCTTGTAAGATCAATCAAATTCAAAACTTTATTAACATTTTCTCCCCATTCTTGTAATACATCATTCTCATTCTTCTTTAACTAGTATTCTACTATACCTTATATTCTATCTATTTTGCATTTCAGTAACTAATCTATATTTCTAAATCTATACCTTTTGATCCATCATTAAACAAATCTCTTCTTCTAATTCTTAAGTACTAATTCCTATTAATTCTGTTATTCTATTCAAATACACAGAATCATAGTAGATCTAAAATATTCTCAAGTTATGATGTATCAATTGTCTTCTAAAATCTAACATAATTTATCAATCTAATACCAACATATCTTTGTTAATTGTTCTCAATATTTTCATCAAATATTTCAGCTGCTTAAATGTTGTGACTTTATGGTGAAGTACTTATCAGTTCTGATCCCAAAAATGCTTAAATTAATTGTTATAAATTAGGCAATGCTTCTAGACCATATTTATATGTTGAAACGAGTGATTATAATTATTTTTACTATATTAGGTTAATTTATTTACTTTTTCCTCAGAATAAGTACTTAATATAGTATACATAGCATAGTTTTCTAATATTGTATTGTAATCAATTCTAAAATTGAAATCTACTTTTGTTGCTTCTAATTATTTATTTTTATGTAATGATTCAAGTATCTTTGAATATGCATGAGCAGTCTCTTTATAATTATTCTCATGTCTATAGTACATAACTAAGAATGAGTAATAAATAATTTTAAGATCTGCAATTTTATCATCTTCTATATTTTTCGGCTCAATTTTTTTTGAAATTATAAACAATCTAACATAATCTTATTTCTTAATCATAATTTTCATTTAGTATAATATAAATTCTAATTTCTCTCTCTTATCCATAGATCCATAAGTTTCAACCTATACTTCTTATAATATTTTTGCAGCATCGGCTATTTGATTATCATCCTCTTTGTATTATGTTAGCATTAATACACATCTGGCATATTCTACTTCTAAATAAATCTTTTTTTCACAAACTTTCATTATAGCATCAATCATCTCTAATTTTTAATTTATTGCTAAAGTCTTTAATTCTACCATAGCCATTTAAACAAGTTCAATTTGTGCTTTTTTTGGTTATCCTCTCTTTTTACTAAGTGATATTATCAATTCATTAAATTTTGAGTATTATTTTGTATCAAAACAGAGCTTTGCAATTTATTTTGTAACTTTTAGTGTTTCAACCAAATTGTTAGCCAATCTAGCTGTCTTTTCTTTATTAAGTAAATCTTCGATTTGTTTATCAAATTCATTCTCTTCAATAATCATTTGGATTTTAAATTTAATTTAATAAAAAAAATACTAATCTGAAATATTTATGATCTATGAAATCAAGCAATCCATTTTCATTCCTTATGATTAATATGCTTTTATTTGATTAGTTAATTCAGAACCTCATGTAACAATAAAGAAATATGAAGAAAGCAATATTTACATTAAATACTTTTCACCTACAAGGATTCGCAATTACTTGGATACCATAAATATTTTTTTTTTTATTTTCTCTAACCATTACTAAATTTAATAGATTGTCATTCTTCAAAATACAGAAACTAAGATTTTACTGAGATGTAAGGCGATATTAGATAGAAATTTATAATAATAATAAATTCTTTGGGATTTTATGTGACGGAAAAGATTATTGGTTTGTAAAAAATATTTATTTTATTATCGTAACAATATCAAAAATTGTCATGATTAAAGAAAGATTATCTTAAATTTATATTTCTAATATACTTTATAATAAAATCTTTTAGGTCTATTAAAGTCGCTTTATTTAAGATTAATATTTGATTATTTTAAGAAGGTCTTTTTAATAAGAAGATATTATATTATTTATTTATATTGGAATAAAGACTAAACTATCAAGCATGGAAGTAATAGCATTCTTTTTAATATATTTGTAAAATCACTTTTTTATTTTGAGATTCTTCAAAAAGAACAAAAATTATTCAGATTAGATTATAATAAGCCATATGTATTCATCAATTGCCAAATTAATCAGAACGCACAATTGATAATGAGTAGATTAAGAATTTCATATTTAAATGAAGGAAGTAATTAAATCTACTTTATTTGCTAGAATTCTTTTAAGAATTAGATAAATCTAGAAACAGAACTAATAAATCAAAACTTATCAGCTTTTTAAGTTATTTATGAATGTATAATATATATATATTTTTATTATAAAAAGTTAGTAAACATCATTTTTAAACTTTTGTTAATATTGAATATAGGGCATTAATGTGACATAAAGTTTACTTTTACAAGCTTTTTATAATAAACTCTCTTTGATAACCAAATTATTCAATCTATGAAATTACTCTTAAGTCTAAATTCAGAGTTTTTGGGGTTTATTTTTATTATTTAACATTTAACTCTTTGAGCCATTAGTGATTAAAAATTTCATTTAGGGTTATTCTTTGTTTTGGATTAACATTCAACATTGATTTAATTAGATCTAATATGAATAGTAATATATACCAACTGAATCATTTGATAAGTTTTATTTTTTCATTTCAATAAAATTTAATTGTCCATTTTAAATGTTATGATTTAATTCATTCATATTATTTCCTTTAAAAGGCACTTTACCAACTAATAATATATATAGTAGAACTCCAGCACTCCATATATCACTAGCAAATCCTTCATATCCTACTTTACTAAAAAGTATTTCAGGTGCCAAATAAGCAGGAGTACCACATTATTCTAATATTTTTTAACCTTTAATTATCTATCTACTAACCCCAAAATCACATATCTTGATTGAATCTCCTTATAGTAAGATATTATCTAATTTGATATCTCTGTGTAAGATATTATGACTTTAGAGTATTTAGATAGCCAATATCAATTAAGTGAATATATTTTTAGCTTAGATTTCTGGAATAGGTTTTTCTTTGGTCCATTTCATTAAGTCTCCACCTTCTACATATTCCATAATTATATAGATTTATTGTTTTGTTTCAAATACTTCATATAATTATGCAAATTATTTGTATTAAGACAGAATTTTCATAATTGTAATTTCCTATATATAGAATTAAATAATTACTAATAACAATCTTTTTTTAGCACTTTCACTTTTCAAAGTTGATTTTTCAATTATTTTCATTGCTACTTTAGCTCCAGTTAATATTTGAATACCTAAACAAACTTTAGCAAATGCTCCTTTGCCTATTACATAACAGGACTACCTTACTAGGGTTAGTGATTCAGTACCTTATAAAAATCAGGAGTTGAAGGAGGGATTCGTTTCTTTGTCTTAATTGTACAAGCTATTCTATTTGCTAAAATAAGTCTCTCTTTTATTATATCTTCATTTGTAGGAAAATGAATTTCAGGTAATTAAAGAAAGAAATCCTAACAATCAAGTAATTCAGTTTCCATTCTTCCAAAATCAGGAAGCATTTTAGGAAATGATTCTTCTTTACTTAATTAACTATTTGATCTTGATATTTTAGTAGTTTATTAACTGCGTGATGTAGCGTTATTTCCTAGATCAATTTTAACTTTTCCTAATTTAGATATTTATTTTGAGTTTGACATTGATGTAGTTTCAGATTTCTTTACAGGTATAGGTAATCTATAATATTAATAAAATATCATTACTTAATTGCTGGACATTGTTTACTAATTGATCTAGACCGATCTGTTGAATTCTTTGATACTTGATTCGAAATACTTCTAGTTCGTGTATTAGTTGATTATGTGTTAAAATTGATACATTTAACAGAGATATGTTTTTTCAGTTGATTCATTTTATAACAGATAAATTTTAATTATTCTCAAAATAACAACAAAACTAACCCAAATAATAAGTTTATCAATAATCCATTTAACCCTTTTGTTTTAGACCAACCACATAGATTATAGCATTCCATTAAATCTTATAATTCAAATGTCACTGTAGATATTGTACTATTTAATAATGGTTCTTTGCAGTTCTTAAATGAAAGAGTTTTATTATAACAGATTTAAAACCTACCATAATTACCAAAACAATCTTCATTATGTTTACATGCAATAATCTCTTCAGCACAATTTGATTCTATACAAATTTCAGCATCTTATAAAGGCACAAACTTTTATAAATTTGATGAACTTAAACCTGAATTTGTGCCTTCATCTGTTATTTCAACTATATCAGGTTCATACTAATCATAATAATCAGCATCATCCTAACCTAACTAACCATATCCTTTTTATAGTATCAAAGCAATTACAACAAATTAAAACATTTTGAATATATATTATTATTATTACAAACATTTTTGAGAAATAAAGTTCAAAATCATTTTATTAAAAATTCCTATAAATCTTTCAAATATTGCATTGTCTAAGAATATTGATCTTTTATAGTCTCTATCTCTTCAAATAAATTATTAAAATAATCTTCACGAATTACCTAATAGATTATTATTATTATTTGTACTTAATTTACAGACTATTGTAATTAACTAAAGTCATTCATCTACTAATTTAATAGTTCATGAGTTCGCTATAAATTATATGTAAGATTGTCTGTTTTTTATTTCAATACTTCTACTTCGGTTAGATTATCTTTTGATGTTATTCTCTCAATTTTTTTTTAGATTTTTATTGATACATCCAAAAATGATTTTAATGATTGATCAACCTAATAATCCAATTTCATGATACATGCTAATTATATTCAATAATTCTTTTATCTGTTTAATTTTTATGAGATTGAAAGGCCTCATCTAATTATTTCAATTTCTATTCAAACTTCCCTATTCTTTATAATAAAATTGTGAGCTTTTCTTAAATTCCATTAAAATAATCAGCACTTGATTTATTGTTTTGTTAATACTATCTATTAGTTTTCTCACTAAATAAATTTAATATTATTACCTCATTTATAATCTTTCTTCAATTTATTCAAATCTCCTTTCAAATTCATTAAGCAACATCACCAAAGCTGAATCATTATTATTACTCTAATATTTAGAAGCGTTATCCCTAACAGAATCATATGATTTTTTTTAGCATTCATCCATTATACTTGTCTTTTTTGAATTAAACCTGTCATTTTCAATAGATTATAAATTAAAAGATATGCTTTAATTTTATGTTTTCATAGGAACAACATTTGCCTCTATTGAATTTGTAAGCAAATATTAATCATTATAACTCTCATTTTAAGCTAATTATTTCTCAATTAATAGTAACTTCTCGTCTAAAGTTCTGTTGTTTTAGTTCTAATTTTCTTTCTAAGTCCTTCTATTTATCATTCTAAATTCATCTATGCTATTAGCTCTTTAATTTATTTTTGACATATTTGAATTTGAATACCTATTTATTTATAAAATCTATAATATTAATTAATTATTAAAAGTATAATATTATTCAAACTAAATACCTTATAAAAGAACTTTTTTTATTTTAAAAAAATAAAAAATACATAATTTTTATTTTTAAAGATGAAAAGAAATAGTAGTTCATATATTGTTTAAGATTCATCCTATCAACTTTCAAAACCTAATTCATTTATAGATATGAATTGTATCATTAAACTCTAATTAAAGCTTCCATGTGTTTAAGCCAAACATTCTAATAAAATAGAACTTTAAATTAATAGTATGCCAATAGATTTTTAGGAGAATGGCATGAAGAAACCTATCTTGTATCTAGAAAATATGTTCCTACAATGACAAAAGGATTAAATTTGTATACTACTTATTGCATTCCTTAAAATCCAATAGCAACAATAGTAATTCTTCATGGATATGGAGATCATTCTGGTAGATACTTTCATGTATTATAAATAATCAATATAAGGTAGCAGATGAATATGCAAAATATGGATTTTAAGTGATTTTATATGATTAAAGAGGATTTGGTAATTCAGGAGGTATAAGAAGTCATGCTGATATAAAATAAATGCATTAAGATCTAGAATGCATTTTGTTAACAATTGAAAGATCATAATCAATATTTTTATAATGCTAATCTTTAGGAGCAGCAGTTGGATTAAGCTTTTGTATTTCAAATCCATCACTTATCATATAAGGAGTTATAGTAGTTAATCCCTATATCTAATTTGCAAAGAAATACGGGTTTTTTAAAAAAATGTTGCTTACTTTGATGAATAAAATAATACCTGTATACTATAATGTATTATTTAGGGTCTTATGGTGAATTCTTATATAGATTATGGTCATTGTAGTAAAAACAATAATGTAATAAAAAGTGTTGCTGAGGATAGTTTAGTATAACCATTTATGAGTATTGGAATGGCTTACAATATTTTATAATTAGATTCTTATATTTTACCTCATGCTCATCAGTGATTTATAAAATTATTTTTAGATTCACTCAACCTTTATTAATATTGCATGGTAAAGAAGATAAAGTAGCTAGTCATATGAATTCTGTAGAGTTATATCGTGAATCAGGTTCAAAAGATAAGACTCTCAAATTATTTGATAAAGGATTTCATGAACTTTAAAATGATGTAGAATTTGATAGAGTCAAAAATGTAATCATAAATTGGTGTTAAAAACAAATCAATAAAGATAAGAGAATCAGTATAATGCTTAAACATAATTTAGGTTATTTCAGAGCATTAAATCATGGATTGATTGTTAAGAACAATAATAGTTCCAAATTCATAGTTTTATCATGGATTTTTATATATTTCATGTTAAAAAAGTACAAACTTAAGTTTTATTCATTAGTAAAATGAAAAGTCTTGGAAAAACTGCTAAATCTATTTGTATTTTAGCAATGATGATCGCATCTTTTATTGTTCGTATTAGATGGTGATTATATTAAATAACAAAAGTTTTTAATTTAATTTAAAATTTAATTATATAAATTATTGTTAAATTCATTTTAAATTTTCCATTCATGTCACTCAAATCTCAAAGAAGCAAATCAAAGTAAGCATAAAGCTAAACTCTTGATACAAGTTATTAAAATAAAAGTCATAGTGATAAACGTACTAGCAGATTTTTAGCTAGCATAGAGTTAAATAATGAAAATTCTAATACAAAATAAGATAATCCTGAAAAAGCATTTTTGTAATTATTATTCACATTATCTAAGTATTTTATTAGATGCATGTTCTGAACTTGTACAATTATATAATGATACTCATAAATAAGAGATAGATTAAGCAATTAAATAAAATTAAACTTTTGAATAAGTAGCTATTTTAGTACATTCAAAATTATAATTGCTAAAAAGAGATTATATTACAAGTGAATACCAATTAATTTAGTTAAAAGAATCTATAATCTCAAAATAATAGCAATAAAATTAGTAAAATTCATTTGAATAATATTAAAAATTACATGATTAAAATCAAAGATGGAAACAATTATATTTTTAAGAGGCTCGATAACTTATTGAAATAACAAAATAACAAAAATAATTCACAATTGAACTATAACAATAATTAGAATATATAAATATCTTAGAATCCAAATAAGAAACTTTAGAATAAAAATATTTAGAATTATTTGAATTAATTCACAATTAAAATTTAAATATTGATTTAAAAAAATATTGTGCAACATTGTAATAAGCATTAAATGAAAAAACTGAATTATTATCAGTTTAACTATAAAATTCAAGGAAATAGTGTATAGATTTATCTAAAAGGCTCTAAGATGAAATTATGAAAGTAATTACTTATCTCTATTTTAGGTTTAAGCTGCCTAGGAACTTAGAATTGTTGATATGTAATATATAATGAGTTTAGAAAATAATATTGATCAAAATAATTGATTAAGCACTTTTAAAATATCATTTAGAATTTTGTAATTAAAATTTCAATTTATTAAATTAATTTAAAATATTCTTCAATTAATGTTAATTGCTCAGATCTTCGAGTAAATTTTTAGAGAAATAGTTATGATTATTTTATAAGATTTTAATATTGAGAAATTCCATCTTTGTTTAGAATAAATAGAAAAGTGAATTTAAAAAAAAAAAATTTATATTATAAAATATTAAGCAATTAGAAAATGCTTTTTATCATTGCCTAAACTTATATAATTAATTTGTTTTATTTGAACATCCCTTTTGTTAGAATGAAATTAAAATAGATTAGTTGATAATCTAATCTAACATAAATAAATATTTATTTGAGAAGTTATAAATGAAAGAGATCAGCGTTCTTTGGATTAATTCAAACAAAAATTTTAAAAGGTAGAATTAGATTCAATAAAAATAATGATGAAAAAAATTATATCATAAGCAAAAAAAAAATTATAATTTATTATAAATTTTATTTATTAGGATAGAAGATTTTTAGAATCAGTTTGTTTTAAATATAATTTTTTGGGATTATTTAAAACAAACTTTAAATTACAAAAAAAGTTTTCGTTTTCATTTGTTTCTATTAATTAATTACAATACTACATTTATTACTTTTTTTTGTTTATAATAGAAAAATTCAATATTAGACTTTATGATCAATATTAAGAATAAAAGGAGATATATATTAGATAAATAAGGATCATATTTGGAAAAAAAGAATAATGAAGATTGTACGATATAATTTAAAAAATAATTAGAAATGAAAATGAAATACAGATAGTATTGGATAAACATTTTTAATATGCTTAAAGATAAATAAGTTAATATGTTAAGTCTAGAAAGATTTATATGAATTCTTTACTTAAATGGATTTAGAAGATATAATTGATATTGCAGTAAATCTTAATATTTAATTAAAAGTTTAAACAAATTATACAAACTAATACATAATTTGTTTAAATAATATCTTTTAAATGAAATTCATATATTAAATTAGATTGCTAACATTAATTTTATTATGAATGCATTCAAAAAACTAAAATTTGGTTGTTGTCTCTTTTGTAAGTAATACATTGATAAAAACTTTATATGAATATTTAAATAAAACCTGAAGTTTTAATAAGTGACTTGTAAGATTTATTTGACAACCATGACGCAAATTAATTTATACAAATTGGTGCACAATTTTTGAATAAACAAATAAATAATATAAATTTTGAAATTTAGATATGCAATAGATTTCCCCTGAAGTTGAGCAACATCTTTCTGAGTTATTAAAGCCTGTTCTTGAAAGAGTAGAAGAATTAAAAATAAGAGATCAATAAAATGAAGATTAAATCAATTCTCTAGTTTAAGAATTGAGTCAACTAAAGTAATTAGTGAGTTCCCTGAAGCCTTTAAAATAAGAAGAAGAAAAAAGTAATAATGATATAATTAAATTAGAATAAATAAAACATGAATAAAAGAAAGACAATAATGGAAATCATGGTAAGCAATATTATAATTAATTCAATTTAATTAGAAAATAAAAAATAAGATCGCCCTACGACTGCTGTTGTACAAAAGAATGAACAAAATAAAGTAAAAGAGCCTAGACCTTAAACTGGTCAAAAATCTTTAAGTTAAAGTGTCATAGTAGATAAGACAGTAACAAATGAAGTTGAAAAAGGTATATTAATGATATCTAAAATAGTGCCTTTAAAATCTCCTAGAGATTCTACATAAAAACACCCAAAACCTTAAGGATAAACATAATAATAATAACCTCCATAAATTAAACAAAAACCTTAAAAATAACCTGATTAAAAAGATACAAAAGATTAAAAAGAACCTAAATCATAAGCATAAGGTAATATTAATTTATATTTCAACAGAATAACCTTAAAAACAAGGATAACCCTAAAAAGATGAAAAAAAAGCAGACAAACCAAAATAAAATAAGTAAAATCCTCCTGTTTAGCCAGAGAAATCTGAAAAACCAAAAGAAGTTCCTAAAAAGGCAGACAAACCATAAGATTAGAAAAATAATGGTTAATAAAAAAATTAAACAAAAACAAATGATAAAAAAACAGATTAAAAATAAGATGATAAAAAGATTGCTAAAAAAGGAAAATAACCTGCTCCTTAAACTGGAGATTAATAACAAACTGATGAATAATTCTAATAGTAATAATAAGCTTAAGTTAATTAAGAATAACAATCTCCTGAAAAATAATAAAAAGAAAGTCATTCAGAATAAAATGAATAATAATAGGAAAATCATTCAGAAAATACAAATTAAGAATAAGATGTTGAAAAACACTAGGAAGAATAACAATAAGAGGAATAAAATTAGTTTCAGAATCAAGATTAAAAAGAAGATTAATAAACAGAAAATTAGGATTAGGCTCATGAATAAAATTAATAGGAGTCATAGGTCTAATAATAAGAAGTAGTTTGAGCTTATAAATATTATAAGAAAAAAAAATAATGTATAAAATTTATAATAATTTTTTTATTGATAATCATATATGTCAAGTGAAAAAAAAATTACTAGATTTACAGACAAAGATGATATAAGAGAAATACAATCAAACGTAAGAATAAATATTAAATTAATTCATGAAAAGAGCAAAATGAAAATAGAATTATCTGTTAGAAAATATAGTGTTGGTTCATATAAACAATCAATCAAGTTTACTCATATGACAACAGGAGATTCTATAAAAAGTTCGGCTATTGCTATATTAATAAGCTCTTTATTTGTGTTTTGTTTTATAATGGTATAATGGATTAAAAATATATTAAGATATTTAAGCCTATAAAGAAATTGCTAAAACTTAATTATTAATTGAAATGAAAAATTATGACATAGAATCTGAGCTGAATTAATGTTCAGAAAATTACTTAATTGAATAAATGGCTAAAAATGTTGTCATCCTCTCTTTCATAATTATTGTAATTAGCAGAATTTCAATCAAACATTGAGTTGATCATGGTTTTTATTATTATTAAATTTTTATAATATAGATATTATTCTATTGTAATTATTTTATTCTGATTCTTAAGTTTCTTTCATATATTTTTTTATTCTATCAAAAAATTTCTAAATTATTAAATAAAATATAATTCCTTAACAAATATAAAATTGTAAAATTGAATAAATAAAGTGTTTTTATATATATTTAAATAATATAATAGATATTAAATTTTTAGATAAGAAAGATATTTGATTATTAAATTAAAATAAAGATAGTAAATATAAATAAAATAAAATTTTCTTATAATTAATAGTTAAAGATTAAAAGAATAAAATTATATGATTTTCCTCTATAAATATATATATTTATCAAATAAATTGTTTTAAATAATTTCTGTAAGGAAGGCTTGGTTTTCTAACACTATGGCATAATAATAGACTTGCTGTAAGTACATTTAAGGCATTAAATTGATGAATACTTCCAGAATGAACTTAAACCTAGTTTAATAATTATATATACTTAATTGAGTAAGGCTACAATTCCTGTAAGTAATTAATAGTTAAGAACACCATAAAGTGCATAACAAATATATCTTGCCTATTTAGGTAGATTACTTTTATAAGCAAGATAAGTAATATAAGATCCAAAGGCATATGTTAGATATGCAGCATTCCTATGATTAAATTGGACCCTAGAATTTTAACAATAAATTACATAACAACATTTTCAAAAAAGTTTTTATAGAAAGGTGAAGCTTTAAATAAATTAGCAGGAACAATTTATCCATTCATAGTTGGCCAAGTATTGAAAACTTTTCCTGCATCTATACCTGCCATAGCTGCTCCAGATAATAAATTGATAGCTACTAAATGAATTAAACCAATTCCTAATCCTCTAAATTTAAGATGAGTTTTATAATTTTCTGGAGTTATTTACAAATGTTAAGGCTTTTTAAAAAGGGTAGCAGCATTCCATATTAAAAGAGAATATAATGATAAAGCCATAGATAAATGAACAGTAAGTCTATAAGTTGAAACTCTGGGTTTTTATTAATATTCAGGTTTTGGACGATCTAATCCTGATTTGACCATCCACCATCCAATTAAACCTTATAATAATCCAAGTCCTCCTATAGCACCAAGTCTTTTAGCAAATTATGGTTTTATCCATTTCATAGCGGTAAATGCAACTAAAGGTAAGACATAAAGACCTCCTAAAGTTGATCCAGATACTCTATGTAAATATTCAACTATAAATATTTTCTTGAATTTTTCTAAATCTATAGGAGTATGTTAATATTCTGGAAATTGTTTGTAATAATCAAATTCTTTCTCCCAATCAGATTAATTTCTTGGATAGACATATTCTATTGGTTTCCATTTTGTCATTGATAATCCTACAATATTATACAATATATTTTTACCTGAATGAGTAAGTCTTGTATACCCACCTAATAAAACCATAAAATAAACTCCTCCTGCACAAAGAAGTAACCATCCACCTATTAACCATCTTTTTGATGGATTTACCCATTCATTTACAGGATCTTCAAAATGAGCATTTCTATCAAATTTGGCATTCTTGTTAGCTTCAGCATTACAGAATTTATAGTATCGATTATTTTGTAAAGGCTTTATTGTTGTTGTTAAATTCTTGAATGTTCTTATTCTTGATAATAGCATTAAAAAAGAATATAAAATTATAAATAATGATATATTAATATTATTATATAATTATGGTAGAGTCAAATAAATCAGAAATTTATGAACTTTACAATTAATACTTTTAGGATAAGATATTTAGAGTTTGAGCTAATGCTTTTATTAATAAGGACGCCTATTTCAAGAGATTATATAAACCAGAAGATTTAGAAGGTTTTGCTCATAGAAATAAAACTTAAAAAAAAAATAGAATGAAATTCTTAATCAAAAAAAAGTAGAATTTAATTAGAATTAAATAAAAGAAAGGTTTTATGAATACTTTAATCGATATTTCTATGTTTTTGCAAGTATTAGAATAAGTAACCCATATTGATAATCTAATCATAAATATTTAAAGTTTAATTATTCTCTTCAAATTATTTATTGAAACAATTCATTTATTTTAAAATCTTATTAATAGTTAAATTTTTTGACCGTTTTATTAATTTATTATATATATTTACAATAAAATATTTTTAAGTTATCAATTTGAGATCATTATAAATCAATTTATTTCTTAAATTTATGAATTTAGTAATAATTAATTCACTTTTATTTTCTTTCCTATTTAATTTTATTAAAAATTAATTTAAAACACATTTTCTCTAGGAGCTACATCATATAAAAATTATATTACTTTTGGATTAGGTTACAGATACTTTATGGGAAGTATTTTCTTTCAATTCAAAAACTGAGGAACTTCTTTGCATTTTGATTGATTATATAAGATTTGCCTTAGAATTCTATAAGTTTGATATAATAGTCTTGTTTATCATTTAATTTTTTTTTTATTCTTTCATTAATTTATTTTTCTCTTGATTATTTGATATATTGAATTAAAATAATATTTAAGAAGTATTTGGTCTTATATGTTCAGATTTTGATGGTGTTTTATTTCTATTAAATTATTTAACTTGAAATAAACGTTAGCAGTTAAGTAATTTTGATGGATTTTATTATTAAATTTTTTGTTAAACTTTTGCAAGTAAAATTTATGAATCAATTTAAGTTTGATCTATTTATTGTTAAGAATTTGAGTTTTAATTTCTAGACTAGAGATCTTGCTTTTTTTTTATTTTATTATTTTTTTGTCGAAAATATTATTAAATGAATTTTGGCATTTTCTTATAAGATAAATTCCCAATTATATATTATAAATTATCATCAACAGTTTAACTTTGTTAGTCTTATGATTAGAATTTTTTTTAAAGAACTTTGAATGTAATAGTCTTCTTAATATCTTAATTTAATATTTGATTTTTATCAACATTTTGCCAAAGTTTTTCTAATTCTAAACATTTTTTTTAATAAATTTCCTCCCTGAAAGTATTATTTTCATTTGAAATTTTAAAAATTGCTTAAAATATTTATTAGCTAATAGACTTTAATTATTAAATTGAGATCATCAATAATGTAGCTGTTTTTGATACAACTTATACATTATAAAGTGCTTTATCAAATTAAGAAAGCTCTTCACCTATGATCCCATTATTTATCAGTTATTCAATTAATATTTCATCAGACCAAAATTTCTTTGGTAATACCAATTTTTCATATTAAGAAAGATTTTTTTCATAAATTTTGCTAATAGCTAAAATTCCATTTTATAGAATATATAAAGAACTACTAGGTTCATCCATTTTTTATATGAAATCTTAGTTTACAAACTTAATCTCTTAAAATCCTTTAATAAGTTAATCATGAATTCTATAGTTTAATTTTTCAAGAATGGGTAAATTGAATATTAATGTTTTTTTTTTCTATTGATACATTAAGTTGTGAGATACTGAAAATTTCTTATAGTTACTCAACGGTAATGTGAAACAATGGGTTTCTGTCTAAGTTTGAGTATTTGAGTTACTTAAGCTTCAAATCCACATTCTCCTTCGTACCACATATTTGCTTAAATTTCTAAATTTTTCGTCGTTTTAAGGACCCCTTTAATCACATAGTAAGCCATATTACTATTTTTTTCAATAATTTGGCCAGTTTCAAAAAATGAATAACCAATTCTTTTACAAAGCTAATTATTTGAATGTAACAATTACATCTTTCAATACTTCATATGGAGCTTAAAATTAATGTAATTAACTTAAGTGATCATAAATTTCATAGATATCCTCTTAAGTTTTCTATTCTTTAATAAGTTTTGGAATTAAATGCATATAAAAAAAAATCTTTACATAATAACTTAATATTCGTATAATATAAATACATAAATTTCTTTAATATGTGTATCTATTTTGATTTCTATAGATTCAAATATTGGATATTCCCTTTGAATAGAAATATTCTGAATGTTTATATAAATCAATATGTGGAATATTTTTAAAATATGTTGTCAAAAACAAATTAATCGATGAATGATATCAAATTACTTATAATATTATGTAATTTGATTGTTTAACATTTAGAGATATACATTTGGATTAAATGCGAAAAAAATTTAGATTTTAATAATGACTATTGAAATCAACAAAATTATCTGAATAAATAATTGATCATATTTTACTATAAATTTTCTAATAAAATAATTTAATAGATTCTTATCGATACTCTACTTTTTTATGTTCATAGTTTTTATGATTCTTGTTTGAGATGTTTAGAATTATTATAGATAGAATCTAATTTTAATTCTGTATGAGAAGCTAATGATGAATTATCATCTTCCAAACATTCTTTACATTATGATATTTAAATTAATTTTTTTAAGTTAGTAAGAGTATTCCATTTCGAATTAATCTAAAAATAATAAATTTAAATACATTTAACTTGGTACTTTACAAAGAATTCTTGTTTAAAGATTTGGATCTTAGAAATTAGATTTTAGATGTTCTAGTTTAGATTCTAATTCATTTAAAGGTAATTTTCTAACTGAAATTTTTTATCTTGGGGATTAAGTATTAACAGAGGAAAGATTTGATTTTTTTTCTGGTTTTATTTAAGGTGGAATAGTTGTTTTAATGAATAATTATTGAGATGAGAGAAATTTCAAAGTTCTCCTCCTTTATTTAGGTGTAGTTTCATCTTTGAACTATTGAACATGAACTGAATGATCAAAATATTAAGATGAACTATGTTTAGTTCTATTAGATTTAGTAGAAAATGGTTTAGATTCAATTACTTTATCAAATTCAACAGATTTAGAAATTCTATCTGAAATTTTTAATTCTGCACATATTCTTAATAAATTTAAAAGTTTTTGAATAGGACGAAATTTAATGAAAGATAATTCACTATTTCTGCTTTTAAGAAGTGAAAGAAATTTCTTTTTACTGTGTTGAAGAACTTATTATTTTGATTGAAATATTTATTTTTCATTTAAAAATTTTAAGTTTTCTTTTTATTTGACAAGTGCCTTTAAGTAGTTGTTTCTTTAATGAGGTGTTTGTAGAAATTTAAATTTAATATTTGATTACCTAAGTGTATCTCAAATTAGTTTAGTTTCTATAATGGGTAATGAATTTTATTATTTCATTTTATAATTATGGATAGTGAATTAATAGATATACCAATTGATTTTGATGAACCAAAATTAGAATCATAAGAATCTTGTCCAGGAGAAAAAGAAATTGTGTCTGAAATATTATATCCAGCTTTGTCATAAATACAAAGTGAAATCATATAGAAATCAAACATTCATAAAATCTCATTTCATCTCACAGAATAAGTTTAATAGAGTTACACATAATATTATGAAAATATATCATATGTTCTTTGGAGTTAAATTGATGATGAACCAGCTAAAACAGTTAATCGTAAATACACTCATTTTGAATGGCTTAATGCAGCATTAAAAAGAGAGTTTCCAGGAATACTTATTCCAGCAATTCCATAAAAATCTGTTTTAGCAAAAATCAATTTAACTGAACATACTCAAATTGTTAGAGAGAAAAGATATAGAGTATTTATGTAAATTAGATTTTAGCAATTCGAAGAATTTTTAAATAAAATTAAAGAGCATCCTTAATTGTAAATTAGTAGCAAATTTCAAATATTTCTTACAGCATCATAAGATGTATAATTATATAATAATTTATTAGATTATGTAATAAGAACTATTAGAATTAACATAATATCAAACTTATGTTTATTAGATAGGTTCAGCACTTGCAAATGCTGGATCAAAGGCTTATGATATTGCTAAAGGATCTTTTAATTATTTAAGTAGTTTTATTTACACGGCATAATAGAATACTTAAAAATAACTACAATATCCTGAATTAGAAATTCCATAAGATATAAAAGAATGCTTTGAAAGTTGGGAAGATGTATTATTTATATATAAAACAATCCATTAGTTATTAATTGAAGAATAATAGAAGGTTAAAAGAATTTTTGATTACTACTAAAATATTGTCAATATTAAATTAGAATAAAATGAAGAAACAAAAAAAGTAATTGCCTCCATGAAAGAACTCTAACTTCCTTAATTAGAAAAAGATATCAATAGAACTGAAACAAGTTGTTACCTCAATGAAACAATATTAAATGATATTAAATTGAATGTCATTTTCAAATTAGAAGTACACATTTGTTTTTTATTAATAGTTATGCATTCTAGATTTAGATGAAGCTATAGGAATAATTAGAAGACGATCTGATTTAATTTATTAAATTTAGTAATAAATCAAAATGCACAATCAAATTGAATCTTTTAATGGTATTTCTAATTATTGTATTAAGAAAAAATTTAATATAAAGAACAAATTAGAGAAAACCAAAAACTATTAAAAGTTTTAGAATCAAACTTTTAGAGTGATATTAAGATTTTTGCTAATTGGCTTAACAAATATCTTTAATAATTAATAGAAAATTACAATGAATAATTTTAAAAATTATATAAAGAATAAAACAAAAATTGGAATGATTGATTATATTTATTATTATTATGAATATTAGATAATTAGATAATATCATTTCATGGCTCCTTTCTAAATTCAAATCCTCCCCATATAGATGGAATGAATAATAAGTACATTCCTTTTGTGAATCAGTTAAATTATAATGGGCTGTGTCTATCATTACTGTAAATGACTTCATCAAATATTTAGATTTAAACTACTCCAAAACAAAGGTCTAATAATTATTAGGAAACATAAATCACAATTAATAAATTATAAATACCTTTATTAGATGTTTGTACAAGATAATATGAAGAAATATTAGAGTTGTGTAATGCTTAAAGTATTTATAAATTGATAAGTCATTCTATGGATATTAATCTTTATTATTAAATCTAGAAATTAAAAATATGGTCCCTCATAGTTTTGAAATATCAACATTATAGAGAAATATTCAAAAAACATTATGGATCTAAATTATTTTCATAGTCAAAATGTAAAAGTTGTACTGCTGAAATTAGTTGTGCATGTTAAATATTAACTAAATTTTTATATGAAATAGAAATCTATATTAAGAGTATATATGAAAACTTTAGTACTCAAACTTAAAATAGAAGATGTTCTATGTATATCAGTTCAGATATCATTAATTTATTGTTGAAATCTATATCACATCTACCTTAATATGATTAATAACCATTATTTTGGGATATGGATGATATTAAGGTTTTATTGCATGTAATCAAATTCCAAGATTTTTATTAATTGCTATTTTAAAATTAAATTGATGGATTTATTTTATTAATACTTGTAAATCCACCTTTTAAGGAAGATAATCTATTTTTAAAATGTCTATTGATGAGTTAATAAAATATTACATAAAAGTCTTCAAACCTACTTTATCAAAATAGATAAAGTATGGTCAGAAATACTATGTAAACTGCAAGCAAATATCATTAAATAAATCAATTTCTTCATTTATTGCATTATTTATTGCAAATTTTAAGTTTAGCTGCTTATAAAAATTAAGAATCCTATACAGAATATAAATAATTAGGATAGAGAAAAGTTAGTCAAATTAGATGGATATCTTTATATTATTTCACAAAAGATACTTAAGTAGGATATGCTAATAGAAAATCTATATTAACAGAATAATTTAAGAGATCATCAAGATCTTATGGAAATGTCGAATAATAAATTAAAAATAGAAATAAAACAGAAACTTTAGATTAATTTGAAATTAATATAATGGTTAAAGATCAAAGTTTAGAATAAATTAAAAAATAGTTTAGTCAACCTAATGTTACACATTCAGCAACAACTTCACCTATTACTTAAAGAGAGACTAATTGGATCAAATTTAAAAATTAAAATGTTCATGGATTTAATATTGAAGATACTGTTTATAGAGGTAGTTCGTTTATGATGTATTTTTTTATAATAATTTAAGACCAGATAATGATGGTTAGGTATCAGAATAAGAAAGGGATAGATAAAATACAGAAACAAACGTATAATTAGAAGAAGAAATATTATTTGTTGGAAATGGCAATCCATCTTAAGAAGAACAATCCTAATTATTATCTAATTAAGAAGAAGAACAACAATAAGAACTAAATGATTAAATGTAGTAATCAGTGGCATTCATGTAATAATCTGTATTAATTTAATAATAATCTTAACCATTATAAAAAGATTAATAATAATAAGATATGGGTTAATCTGTTATTTTAGGTTAATCTAATGTTATGTAGTAATCTATAATGATGTAATAATCAACAATGATGTAATAATCAAATTTATTAAATAAATCGATCTAAATATAATAGATTATTGAATAATAAGATAATTAACGAGTAGAGTACTTATTATAAAATAATTTTTAGATTTAATAATAGAAATCAATCAAAGAATAAATTTTAAAAAGATTAGAAAGATTAACTCTTCAACCATCATTTGATTTATTTTAACTTTCATATTAAACACATTTGAAATTGAAATGTGATGAGTAATAAAAGGTAAATAATAATATTATTAAAATTAGTTAAAAATTATTAATATTTAAGGAGCAAGTTTTGGTAGAAATGAAGATTGCACATTTGCCTTTACAGATCATTCAAAAATTAGTAGCAAACATTGTTAAATTTATTATAAAGATAGTAATTTTTTATAAATAAAATGACAGAAGCTTTTTATCTAATTGATGTTGGATCTAAGGGGGGCACTTTTATAAAAATAAACCATAATTTTGTAATAGAAAAAGATATGTCAGTATATATTGGTAATAGATTTGCCTTTAAAATAATTGACATAAATACAGAGACAGGATTTTTAGAAGTGCGTTATGAACATGAAGGTTTAGCAAAAAATAAATCAATACAATTAAAGAGAGGTGATAAATTTTAAATAGGAAGAGAAAAATCTAAGAATGATTTTACATTTATGCTTTCATAGTAAATTTATTATATTAAAGAATATAGATGTAATAGATTAATGAGTGCAAAACATATGGAAATTTATTATGATTATAATTTTAAAGCTGGATCAATAAAATTAATGATAAATGACTTAGAAAGTAAAAATGGTACATGGTTACGTCTAAGTGAAAAATAAGTTGTTAGTTCTCCGTTTCATTTATAAAAAGGAGCGAAATTTAATTTATCATTTGAATTAATATTCGATGTCTTTGAGTTGGTATGTGATGTATGATAGTGATTTATGAAAAATATACATTAATATAATTATGAGTTAGAAATTAGAAATCATTGGAAGAAAATCAGTTGTATTTATAGCAGCTAGTATTTATTGTCTTCATTATTGGATCAATTTTAATTTATGGATAAGAGAAGAGTTTAACATACTATTGTATATACATTTAATTGCTTTGAATATCATTTTCATAATGCTTTTATGGTGTTTTATAGTCATGATAACAATTGATCCAGGAAGACCAAAAAAGTATATTGAAAGATTAAGATAGAACAGATGAGTTTAATTTTTCTCCATTTTCAAAGAAAGGATTCTGTCAAAAATGCAAATGTCCAAAACCTGATAGATGTCATGTATAATAGCAAAAATATAATTTTAGCATTGTTCAATATGTGATCGCTGTGTTTTATAAATGGATCATCATTGTCCATGGATAAATACATGTGTTGGATATTAAAATAGAAAACAATTCATATTACTCTTATTTTATGCATTGTTATTTAATTTTATAACAATTTTAAGTACAACTAAAACTTATTTACTTTCTTTTACATTTTCTTATTTAAACATATTTTATGCTTTGGTTTGCACTGGTAATTATGTTTTAGTGTTTTTACTTTTTGGTTTCTTAAAATATCACCTTAATTTATTATCCAAAAATTAAACAACTTTAGAAGATATAATTAGTAAGAATAATTAAATCATATTTAATATTTATGACATTGATCCAAATACAAATGTATAATAGATTTTTGGTTAAAATAAGATGTTATGGTTATTTCCTATTTATTCTGCCTTTGGATGTGATGATGGTAATTAATTCCCATTAAAAAATGAATATAGAATTATGTAAATTCCTTCTCCATAAGTGATAGCTGTGTAAGAGTAACATTTATTATAGTTTTTATGAGCAATAGTATGTGAGTAGTGATAAAAATACAAATGAACATCCAATTATTCAAACTATATATAAAAAAGAAATGGAGAAATAAAAGATTATTGAAATTATTAAAAATTGATTCACTTTCTATTTATTCTATCTCATTTACTCTATTTATACCAATCTAATAATGTAAAAAATAAAACTATTTATTGTTTTTTTTATTTATTTTAAAGAAAATATATATTCATTAGTATTAACTTTTTTAACTAATTCTATTTGTAATTTTCTCTTTTTTAATTTCTGTAGTTAGTCTTATTTCTTTTTTTGGAATTGTTTATTTCAATTTTAAAGTTCTTAATTTAAAACTTCTTCTTCTTTTTCAATTACACCTTAATTAAATCCATATTAATCCACATCAATTTCTGGCTATTTAATTACATCTGGTAAATTATAATTAGCAATTGTTTCTCCAACTTTTATTTTTCTTCTTCAACATTATAAGTTCCTTCTATTTACTATTTCGTTTATTCTCTTGATTTTTCAAAGTAAGCTTTCTCTGCTTCCTCATCATCAGAACTACTTTCTTATTAATCTTATTAT